CTTAGTTCCTATCAATCTTTTCCATTCGATTTTCTTAATTGGATTTTCTATGTAATAGCTACATGACTTCAGGTTGTATGATTTAGAAATAGTTTTCCCCACTCTATTGGTAAGGTCGTTTTCTCTATGGTCAGCAAGAACTATTTGTCTGCGCAGAATTCCCACTCTATGGTTCCTGTGTTTCTGGAAATGTTCATAAAGAAGGTAAGTATGTTTTTCTCCATGGTTCTGCTCCTACTAGAGGGTAGACAGCCGTATTTGATGTATAATATGAACCAATATATTATGTTCCAGATTACAGTAACAAAAATACAGAACTCCAAGGTAAATTAAAAGGTTTTTCGTTGGAACAATAATATACGCAATAATTAAAATATTTTTAATTTATTTTCAGTCAGATATTCAAATATGAATTTTTATAATGAATTCATATTTAAAGTTTCTTGCATCATTCTATGATTCTAAGTCATCTGTTTGCCCCTAGTAATGATATTAATTTATTAAAGAGTTATATAACATTTTATTTGTTAATACTGAAGTCTCAGTATAATGATTTTTCAATATTAAAAGTACAGTTAATGTTCAGAGAAATAAGATTATATGGAAAATAAAATGCTCCGCTGGGCGCAGCTTGATACAACCGCAGAGGTGGAACCCTGAACAGTTGGGGCAAGTATGGACACAACAATCAAGCTTGATACAGCACTGAATTTGGATTGTAATAGAATATTTGACACATCTTAGGTTTCTGACACAGAATGAATGTGGTTTAAGTACTTAAAAATAGATTTTTAATTTACCTATTCAAACCATATCATTATTATTTGCTTTTATATATAAATCAGAAATAACCAATTTAAAATGGAAAATTTAAAAGAAAGAAAAAGGAAAAAAAAATCCCCCCCCCCCCCCCCCAATTTTTTTAATCCCCTTATGATTCATCACCCAAAAACTCAATCCCAGCCTTCCCTTTGTGGTATGGTACCTTGCAGTACAATTTCAGAGAGATCCATACACTTGAACACAAGTTATTGTCTGGAAACTAGAAAAAATGTTTATTTTTGGCCCCTTTTAGGCCCCTTATACCTAAAAGTTTTGGGCAATTACCCCCAAACTCAATTCCAGCTTTTCCATTGTGATATGGAACCTTGTAGTACAATTTCAGAAAGATCCATACACTTACACACAAGTTATTGTCATGAAACTAGAAAAATGCTTGTTTTTTGCCCCTAATTCCTAAAATTTTGAGGCAATTACCCCCAAAATCAATTGAACCTTTTGTTAAAAATTAATAGAGATCCATTCACTTAAACTAAAGTTAGAGTGGGAAAACCAATGTGTCTTCGGACAACGTCATACCAATATACGACTGCAAAATTTTTTTGCGGTCGTATAAAAAACTATTAAATTTTTAATCAATATCAATCTTAAAATTTAACTTTTTCAAGCTGATAAATCACTTCAGGCAGTTGTAACTCATTTATAGAAATTCTTTGTTTTGAACTATTAGTAGGCCTAAACAATAGGACAATCCTTACTAAGAATATGCCTTTTTGAGGATTCCATTTGACGTAATTATTACCTTCGTGTTTTGTGTTACTAAACTTAAAAGATGCGTTGTTACTGTGCTTATCCTGAAGGCTTTGGCCTATTACAATACCAATTGCTCAAACAGTTTACCAAAATTGCAGTTTGAATTCATCTCAACAAACTGATCAACTGGTAAAATATTTTAGCCAATTGCTTCAGTGAAAGGTTGTTAGATAACAGGATTTGTAAGAACTGTAATATAAATTTGGTGGAAGATGAGTTACATTTTCTATTAAACTGTCCAAAATTTTCTCATTTAAAGAAGGAGTTAGTGTTCAACTGTTTAAATAAAAACATTACTAATACTACAGATATTAATTCCCAGTTTATGTGGTTGTTAAGTAATGAAGACACTGATGTGTGCAAAAGTATAGCTAAGTACCTTAACATGTGTTTTTTACTTAGAATAAAAGTGTAAAATTTTTTTGTTTGTTGGCTATTTATAATGTACTTATCTTTTTTATACTAGAGTAACTCCCCTTGGAACACATAATATTTTGATACTTGTGTAGTATTAATTTTAGTTAGATTGTTTAAATGTTATTCTTTGTTGTATCTATGCTATTAATGATTATGTTCATATGTTCTCGCTGCATTGAAGACCCATTGGTGGCCTTCGGCTGTTGTCTGCTCTATGGTCCGGTTGTTGTTTCTTTGACACATTCCCCATTTCCGTTCTCAATTTTATAATTGAGCTTTCTTTAATAAAATATTTCGTATTTTATATGTATGAAGTGAGTGCAGTGAAATAAAGGTAATGCTAACCATCCAATATTATTTACTTAATGGCTGTGTAATGAAAGTGAAATAAACTAATCAACTAGTATAATATAAGTCACTTGTTTAAAAAGGTCCGACTTTGACATGAATACTTCTATCCTAATGACAATTTATAAATAATTAGTTCTTTCAATTGTTTGGTTAGTCAATAACTTATTGCTTTGTTTGTTAACAGGAAGTTATTGTGTAATTGTAAATTGGATATTTTTTTATATAACAATTACTGATCTGCTGGCATTAAAGGGAAATAATTTTGAATTCACTCATTGTAAAAAAAATTTTTGTATATATTTTCTTGTGTGAATGTCAATTTATCAGCTTGTTATAGTGGATGAAATCTACACTACATACATTTTAAGGTCACTAATATGAAATTGTTTGACCTATATTATGCGTCTTGTCTACCCCCACAAGAGATGTTTTTATTGTCCGAATGCCACAGAATAGACGTCTGATCTGTAATTTTCCTATCGTTTTGACTGATTGTAGATTGTCATGGCAGAAATGCATGCATAGCAGGAGATGCTTACCCCTTTGACACCAGTCTTGCTCCTCTTGGGAGTTTATGGAATTCCCTCAGTTTGATTTTTACCTTGGTTTGTATGTTACCACTGAATGGATTTATGAGATATCTGTCGGTAAATTACTGTTTCTTACATATATGTTGATTGCCTGTCTATCTTTTTTACAACAAATGTGGAATGTGTCGGACATAACTGACAAACGGTAAAAGTGATGCTACCCAAATTTGTAATTGATCTGAGTTTTGAGGTAATAAGTATTGTGTATAAGTTTCATAACATTTGGTTGAGGCAAACTTAAGTTAGAGAACGGAAACGAAAAATTCAGCAATTTTTCCATTTGTAAAGGGGCATAACTCTAGAACGATTAACGTGACACAATCAAAATTCGAAATTGATCTGTATTTTGTGGTAATAAGCATTGTGTATAAGTTTCATAACATTTGGTTGAGGCAAACTAAAGTTAGAGAACAGAAACCAACTTTGGGACGTACGTACGTACGTACGGACAAGGGTAAAACTTTATGCCCCTCCGCTACAGCGGGGGCATAACAAAATTAATGTTTATTTTATAGTTTCGCTTCAAATAACATTAAATGTCTATAATGGTCCTAAACATTCCATTAAAATTTCAATTTATTTCAAAAAGAGGTCCAATATTCATCATCTGGTATCCAAAGGTATAACAGGCAGACAGACGGAAAGATGGATGGACAGTCTAATGGACAGATATTGGGATTCCTATATATTCTTCAGGCTCTGTTGAGCAGGTGAGCAGGGTATAACTATAAGTTGGGTGGGTCATAAAAACTACATACTTTCTGTACAAATATCTTTTTAGATAAATTGTTAACACAGAGATATGTCTCGCCTATATGTTATTTTGATAATGAAATGTTGAAATTAAAATAGCAATACTTTAACATGCAAGTTGTGCAAAAATTCAAAGTCAACGAACGAAGACTGAAGGTACAGGGCTAAACAATCTCCATGGAAATGAGATGTGCCAATGCTAATACAACTGCATGCCAATTACCATTGACTTTTCATAAGTTGTTCCCTTGAAACAAACTTAAACACAAACATTAACATTAACTTGTAAACTATGTAATAGTTTCAAAGTCAATGAACTATAATGAGGGGGGGGGGGGGTTATATAATCTCCATGGAAATGAATCTTGCAAATGCCAATCCATCGGCATACCAGATATCATTGACTTAACATTAGTGGTTCATCTTAAACTGACCTAATCACAAACTAATTCATGTAAACTAAGCCATTTGTAAGCAAAAGTTTCAAAGTCAATAGACCATGACTGAGGGGTACCAAATATTCTCCATGGAAATAAGATGTGCTAATGCTTATACAACTGCATACCAATTATTATTGACCTACCACTAAACGATTCCCCTTAAACAGACCTAATCACAAACTAATACATGAAAACTAAGCAAGAGTTTCAAAGTCAATAGACCATGACTGAGGGGGCGGGGCCAAATAATCTCCATGGTAATGAGGTGTGCCAATGCTAATACAACTGCATACCCAATATCATTGACCTACCACTAGTGGTTCACCATGAACTAGACCTTATCACAAACTAATACATTGTTGACGCCGCCGCTGTGCAAGACGCCAGTAACAGCATACCTATGGCACGCTTTTTGACTCTGTCAAGGTGAGACAAAAACCAGTGTAATCTATAATAAACTGTTGACACAGAGATATGTCTCGCCTGTCGGAATAAAATTCAGAAAAAAAAAACCAATCTAATGGACAGCAACATTGCTTATTATTTCAAAGTCACTGGACCATGATCTTGTGGGGAGGGCCTAGAAATTCTTTTTTATAAGCAACATTATAATAATAACATTTGAAAAATTTGCTAATTAATTCAAAGTCGCTGGACCAACTAATGGGTAGGGCCTCAAAATGGTTGACAAACTGAGATGTACAGACAGCAATGTAACTTTATAGAAAATATTGTCTATTGTAAGTAGTTCCTATCAAACTAACTTAATCAGAAAATTAAACATTTTCCCATCCGGGTTTTCCCGCCCGGGTAATACTTTGCCAACCCTGACAAAATCTCTAAAAAAAATCAATCAATCAATCAAGATTTAATCATTTAAGAAATGATGACATGACTTCAGATTTGAATTTTCTGACATTTTCTGTACATTAAAATGTCATAATTCTAGGAATTCTTTTTCAATTGCAGCTGCCATTTCATCATCCATAGATCCTATGGATTCATTATCATCAGAGTCAGTATCAGGTGCAAACGCATCTACTGTCTTCTCAAAATGTTCAAGGTCATTTTCACTTTCAATGTCATGAGGTTCATCATGATCAGAGGCAACAGGACTGTCACTTGATGCAGATCTATCTTTTGTTTTCCATCCTCTAGGTAAATCAGCAGAGAGACTATCTTGAGAAGAAGAATCGTTTTCTCCACTACTAAGTACATGCAGCCGCATTCTAGAATCTCTCTCGTCATCATCTTCAGACGAGTTATTGTCAGGATCGTCATCCATAATTTCCTCCACTTCTTTATCCATACATGCAAGATCATCATCTGAAAATGCCAACAATGGATTATAAGTTCTTGAAAATGTTGGATTTTGATTTTCAGTCATTTCTGTATCCTTTCTTTTAATTTTCTGTTGTGATGTTGAAGCTTCTGTTTGAGACTCAGCAGTTGAAACTTGATTTTCACCAGTTTTAAGACGTTTCTCTAAATTTGATGTTTCAGAAAGATCATCTGGGTCAGATTTTCTCTTTCTACTTTTTTCATAAGACACATCAGGACTGTCTCTTGTTTCCTTAGATGTTTCTTTATCTAATGGGAAAAGTCTTTCATCAACATGTTCATACCGTTCAGCACAACTCCACAACCAATTTGAATTGACTATTTTCACACTTTTACATTTGAGAGCCATTCTGACTTTGTTTGTTCCCAGTTTTGCTGCTACAAGATGTGTAGTTGCCACACCTTTATCAACTCCATCGTTAGGAATGATATTTGTATGAATGTTTGCTCCCAATGCTTTCGCTACTAAATAAGCTCTGCTTTTTTCAGGAGGCATATTTGTTGGGAAAACACCACTGAACACAATATTTACTCCATTGAGAACTTTTATTTTAATGTAACTTATAATGTTTTTTAGATCAGGTACATCTTCTGTGTCATTCTTTGACTTTAACTGATCATTAAAATCAAAGAATGTTTTGTGAATTCTCGTCAGGATTTCCTCCAGATATAACAAATAGTCATCCTCGTCATCCCATTCAATTTCAACATCTTCTTCTTGTAAATTGTCCATACTTTCCTTGTCCCTTTTTGAATCATCTGGATTAGAACTTTCTGATTTATCTGTGTCCATTGATTTCACTGAAGAATTTTTACCTTCAAATTCTGTTTTGTCAGGATTTTCAATTTCTTTTTCAATGTCAGATGTTTTATTGTCTGCTTCCAGATTTTGATCTAAAGCTTTTGGATTTGTTTCCATTTCTGTTACAACAGAAGAAGATACTGCTTCATTACACTTTTCACTTTTTTCCGTTTGTTTTATATCATTACTGACCTTAGGTTCAGAATTGTCAATTTCATTTTCAGTTTTTCGTTGTTGGGTTTTTAGATTTTTATTGTTGTTTTCATTATCACTTCCTGATTTTGTATTTACACCTTTTTGATTAATTTCATTAGTTTCTGTGATGTCTGATGTTTCAGATGGAATGGTTTCATTTTTATCTTCTTTTGCACTGTTAGCAGTCTTATTATCCTCCTTAACACATGACTTTTCAGTTTCTTTATCATTTTTTGTTTGTAGATTATCTCCCTTTTCCACTGAATCATCAGCTTCAATGTCATCTTCTTTTTCAATGGATTTTGACCTGGAAACTCTTCTGACCCTATGATGAACTGGTTCCTGGTCATGTTCAGTTTTTGTAAGTCCAGGGGGTGCATTAATATCTGCAGTTCCTTGAAAGAATCTGTATGGTTTGACATGGATCAAATTTGGGGCAAAGTTCCAAACATCTTCTCTATCATCTATTATACAAACCATCTTATCTCCACATGGAAACAAAGCTCTGTAATGAAATCAAAAATAAAACATTAAAATATAACTTACAACAAAATGTGTCCATAAGACACTATATCTTGCTTGCAGTATCCCATTCCCATGTTCAGCTAACTGTGAAATTTGTATCAAAACCCTGATTTGACATATATCTTGAAAACTTCATATCATAATGAACATTTGTTCAAATGTTGTGCTGTAACACCACTGTCCCAGGTTAGGGGAGGGTTGAATGCTCACAAACAAGTTTAACCCCGCCACATTCTTAAATTGCCTGTCCCATGTCAGGAGCCTGTAGTTCAGTGGTTGTCGGTTCATTTCTGTCATATTTGGTTTTTTTTTTTAAATTGTTTTGTTATAAACAAGGCCATTAGTTTTCTCGATTGAATTGTTTTATATTTCTCATGTCAGGGCCTTTTATAGCCGACTATACGGTATGGGTTTTTCTCATTGTTGAAAGCTGAGCGGTTGCCTATAATTGCTTACATCCACTTCATTTAAACTTTGGTGGATAGTTGTCTCATTGGCAATCATACAGCATCTCCTTATTTTTATATGTAACGTGACAAATTGCACCTATTTTGACAGTTTTTTCAACTATGTTTATTTATGATCCAGAAAAAGGTTTCCATTCTGCGTTTATTTTGTAGATGTATCCTTATTTACTATATAGTTCCACCAATTTAATTTTGAATCCATATAGATTCATAGAAAAATGGGTTTGAAACGACCCATGATTCTGTAATGAGGAGTACCCAAATTGCATCCATGCTTTAAAAATTACATCTGTCAAAATCGAATAACTGATACTTTGTTTTATTTCTTCAAATATTTAAAACAACTTGACAATAGTCCATTCTTACTATTCATTTTTTAAGATAAGGATGCCTATAACATATTTGAATTGATCCTTTTTGAAAGTTGACTTTTTGTAGACGTCGCATGGCGACATTTCCGTAGATTTTACTTTTTGGAGCGAATACTTCATCTGTTGATATATACTCATGATTGTAAACGTTTTGTGTATATTTAAATATATTTAGCTATGTTGAAAGACATGCATATTGTCAAATCATAAAAAAACAAATTGTTTAGTCTCTAAGAAGACTTGCAAGATTTCCTTTGCTATTTATGCTAAATGGGTGCAATTTGGGTACTCGGTGCAATTTGGGTACTGTGACATTAGACAAATTTTGACCACAACTTCATGGTAAAATACCTTCAACAAAAACATTAATCTGAAATGGGACAGATTAAGGGAGGGGCAGACAAACAGAATGGAAAACATAATGTACCCTCTAATGTCATAGGCAGGGCATAAAAAATTGTTTTCATTAGAAAAACTTAATGTAAAACAGTCTTGTGATAATTTTCAATCAGCTCTGATGTAAAGTTTAAAAGTTGATAGTAAGCAACAGCTGTGTTCTTTAATGCCTAAGGTGTAGTGTGATGGACATCTAGCATAGCATTCAGATAAACCTGGGTAAGAAAGAAAGACTTTTTTTTATCAATTTTGAAGGCCTCACTGTGACTTTCAGATACAGAACAGATATAAAAGTCCTGCTTCTTTGCTTTTTGTTTTGTCATGTGCATGCAGTGATTTTGTGTTATGAATTGATTCACCATATCATTTTCTTTTCCAATATTACCCTGGTACTAGAAGAGATTATTTCACAAAATACTTATTGATTCTTTTTTTTTACATATTTTATCATAGAAACTTTCTCCAAAATTGACATGTACGTTAAACAACAATCAATCCTTCAATCAATAAATTTCAGATTGTCTGCTAATAATAGAGTAAAAACAATCATGTTCAGTATAGAAAAGTAACATTACTTTTGTCATTGACTTAATTTTTCTAGCCTTAGAAAAATTAGTTTAGGATAGTTTTATATACTTTTCATTAATACTAATTAAGAAGATCTGTTTATGTATTCAGCTTTTCCAACTAAAAGTTTAAACTAGATATCATTGAGATGGGAGCCATCTCTGTGGGCCCCGCTGTGAATAATGTGTGGTAAAAAATTTGTATCTTTACCATAGGACATGGGGTTGTCAACTGAAACCAAAGTTTTTGACCTTGACCTTTGACCTAAGAAGTTGTACATTAATTATGACACACCCTCTGGTGTTGGTTTATATACATCTCAAGTATAAACTTTGAAATCATAACGGTTCTCAAGCTATAGAGCAGACACGATCTTTACCATAGGACGTGGGGTTGTCAACTGAAACCAAAGTTTTTGACCTTGACCTTTGACCTAGGAAGTTGTACATACATTATGACACACCCTCTGGTGTTGGTTAATATACATGTCAAGTATAAACTTTGAAATCATAACGGTTCTCTAGATATAGAGTAGACACAATTTGTTACGGATGGACGGACGGACGGATAGACAGACGAACGGACAGACAGACTGATCACTATAGGGTGTCCGCCATTTGGCGGGGCCGTAAGGGGCCCTAATTATTCGGTATGGCTGAGAGTACTGAAGATATCATAAAACAGTCAAGTCTGTTAACCTCACTTTTCATTATAATCAATAATTAGATTATCTGCAGAATAGTTTGGAAAAGTCAACTAAAAAATGTCTGTCAGGTCATGCAAATTGGATTTATGTCATTACTTCTTTTTCCAATGTATTAAAGTAAAAACAACAACAATGCACCACAACTTACATAATTGAGACAAACTTGTACCCAAACAACAATGCAACACAACTTACATAAATGAAACAAACTTTTACCCAAACAACAATGCAACACAACTTACATAATTGAGACAAACTTGTACCCAAACAACAGTGCACCACAACTTACATAATTGAGACAAACTTGTACCCAAACAACAATGCAACACAACTTACATAAATGAAACAAACTTGTACCCAAACAACAATGCACCACAAATTACATAATTGAGACAAACTTGTACCCAAACAACAGTGCACCACAACTTACATAAATGAAACAAACTTGTACCCAAACAACAATGCACCACAACTTACCTAAATGAAACAAACTTGTACCCAAACAACAATGCACCACAAATTACATAATTGAGACAAACTTGTACCCAAACAACAATGCACCACAAATTACATAATTGAGACAAACTTGTACCCAAACAACAATGCACCACAACTTACATAATTGAGACAAACTTGTACCCAAACAACAGTGCACCACAACTTACCTAAATGAAACAAACTTGTACCAAAACAACAGTGCACAACAACTTACCTGAATGAAACAAACTTGTACCCAAACAACAATGCATTTACCCAAACAAAAATGCACCACAACTTTTTTCCTAAACAAAACAAATTTGTACCTAAAAAAACAATGCACCACAACTTACTTAATTGAGACAAACTTGTACCCAAACAACAATGCACCACAACTTACTTAATTGAGACAAACTTGTACCCAAACAACAATGCACCACAACTTACTTAATTGAGACAAACTTGTACCCAAACAACAATGCACCATAACTTATAATCTAAATGAAACAAATTTGTACCAATAAAACCAATGCACCACAACTTACTTAACTGAGACAAACTTGTACCCAAACAACAAATGCTCCACAACTTACATAAATGAAACAAATTTTCAAAGTTATAAAGTGGCATAACTCTAGAACGGTAAGTGACCCACTGCCCAAATTTAGTAATTCTGTCTGCAAGTTTTGGTTCTAAGCATTTTGAATAAGTTTCATAAAATTTGGATGAGAATAACTTAAGTTAGTGTGTGGAAACGAAAAAATTTGCAATTTTCCTGACTTATAGAGGGGCATAACTCTAGAAGGGTAAGTGACTCACTGCCCAAATTCAAACTCTGCAAGTTTTGGTTCTTAGGACAGGTAACACCTAATGACCCCTTTGCCTAGCAGCAGGGACATAATAAAAACAGTAAAGGTATATGATTAAGGATTAATAAACAAAATGAGTTATTTTCTTTCAAGAGAAACTTACTTCAAATTAGCAGTTTTAGAATTAGGATTAAAGCATTCGTCTCTGGATAGTATCCTGTGAGAGAAGTACTTTTCTTCTGGGTCCAGAAACCTGGCTATGGTGTGTGCATACATTCTTACACCAAAAGTACATATGTGCAACTCATACATCTTAGATACTGTTTCCAAAAAGTGTTGAGTCCCAGGCCTTATTCTTGTATGATACCACATCTTTCCATTACCATGCCGTAATTGGTAATGAAATACTCCCTGAAAGTAAAGCCATATATATCAATGCAATCAAATATTACATCAATTTTATAAGACAAATATATGTCAGATAAAAGTTACTAAAGTTTAAATGACAGAAATTGATTATACCTGTTGATGTCCTTATTGACCTTTGGTTAGTATGAGAGTAGCAGATACCTACTTTTATGGCTTGACCAAATTTTTATAATATTGAGGTAATCAGATTCATAATTATATAGTATATACAAGTAGGTATGTTCTAACTGGTTCATAAGTTTCAAGAGAGATCATTTTCTTAATTTTTTTGGTCATCATTGACGATGTATTTGTTAACACATACAGATTTACTCATTTGAATTTATTTAACATACATTATGTATTTTACCTTCAGATTTGCTGGAATGTTGTCATTAGTTGTATGTATCAGGGTTTGATCAAGGTCAACTAAAAGAACCAGTTTCTTTGTTTTTAATAATCTGTTTTCGTCTTCTCTACCAATTTCTTTTGCTTGCTGCAAATAAATCATATAATATATATATATATGTGTTGCAATAAACTTGAAACTTCATTTAGTAGTTTGTAAAAGATAATCTAGAACACGTTAAGTTCATTACTATTTTACGCAGAAATTTCAAATTTCTGTTTTTAGCAACAGTGTCTTCAAACATTATTTTTAAAGGGGACCATATTTCATATAACATTTTCAGTGGAGGATCCAGAGGGGGCGTAGAGGGCGCATGCCCCCCTTTGCTTGCACTTTTTTTTTTTTTTTTTGTTAAATGATTAATCAGACTAGACTTCGTGAACTTTGCCATTTCCCGTGTATTTAATTTTTATGTGACAATTCTTAACTTATAAAGATATTTTTCCCTCGTATTTACTGTAATATATTATTGATTATGTCAAAGTCATGTGATTCTCTACGGTGGAGTTGACCAGTTCGTCGAAAAAAAAACGTCACTCAAGTTATTTTGAAATTCAAATTACAGTAACACATTGCTTAGGCTGAGGATGACAAGCATGACGCCTTCAAAGCGACAAAGTATTGAGCAAGAATGTATTGACTTCTATTTCACAATTCCACCCAACAGAAAGTAATACTCTATTACACTCTCATGAAAAAAAAGGTTACACAGCAATATTATTTACCTACGAAAACATGTTTAACCCCACACGCCCCAGCCCATTAATAACATTGCTGAATAGTGATCCCCAGTCAGTAAGCTCTAGATATAGATTTAAAGTCTAAGGTACGGACCATTTGATCTGAGGGGACAGTCTGAGATATTTTAGAGAAAAAATTCTGACCCTGATTTTTGCCTTAGAACAAAAATTCTGGCCGTATCTGGTTTGAAAACAATAATCTTGTCAACTTTTTGGCTATTAGAAAAAAATATTTTCAACAGAATTATTAAGCATTAAATAAACATGATGAATAAAAAACAGGCGTTTTTTTTGGGGGGGGGGGTTGCATGTGAATCCCATATCTGACCAGAATGTCTGTTTCGCCGAACTGATATACTGAATACTTTTTTCAAGGCCCGACTGCAACCTGCCTGCTGGGTGTGGCCTATATGTCTCCTTGTGTCGACCGTCATTCACAACTTCATTGTCATTTCCGACTAATTTGTAGCCTTTGGTTGATTTGGAACCCCTCACTTCCCTTGTTGGGTAAAACATTTCAACCAAACATTTGGATGAAAATTGCTTGTTTGTCTTTCTTCGTGTCGGTCGTATTGTAAATTTCATTGAATAACCGTATATCTTGGTTACAACAAGAAATCTGTGAGGTTATGCTAACTAACCATACAACAAAAGAGAATTTTCCATGTCCATTTTTTACTGACAAATCCAACATCAAATATATTAATTAGTACATAGCTTTGGATCCATCCAATCATTTCATAATAGACAATTGATGGAGAGAATACGGCACCAAAAATGTCCAACCCCTACACTTTAACTTTAAAAAGCATTTTACACTTATTTTATGTTTTTTAGCCAAAAAAAGGTCAAAAAAACTTTTTAGTTTTAGAATGTTGCAGACATTTTTAACCATAACTTTTTAAGGAGGATCATAACTTATTTAACCAAAGTTGGCAAGATAGCAATTGGTCCTTCAATTGATTTTTTTAGAAATAGCAAAAGTGCACATGCTGAGATGTCTTGCCTGCTTTACTCATTTATATCATGGTTGAATTCTATGTTGAAAGTCTTTTTTTTACTAACTCTAGAAAGGTAAGTGACTCACTGCCCAAATTCGAACTCTGTCTGCAAGTTTTGGTTCTTATCCTTTTGTATGGGTTTAATAAAATTTGGATGAGGAAATAACGGCAAGTTAGAGTGGAGAAACGAATATGGGACGGATGGACGGAAAGACGGACGAACAAGGGTAACAATTAATGCCCCCATGGCCAATGGTGGGGGGCATAAAAATAAAGTAAAACACTTTTTCAAGCAATTGTAAAACTATGAAAAGGAGGTCAAAGACAACAGACTAATCTCGAAAACTTTCAGAACATAAGGCATTTGTTTACAAGATTTTTTTCCTCCTGAAATATTAGCTTCATACAATTAGTTTACATTGTCAAATTATCATCCATATGTCTTGCATTCTGTGAATTTCGTCACAGACAAGAGTTAGACACTATTAAATTTAAATTTCCTACTTTCAGTAACAATGGAAGCCATATTTGAAGACAGTTAGAGTAATCAATCACTATTCTCAATGCAATCAAAAATGTATAATTTGACAAAAGTTTTCTAGTTTTATCACATCCTCTATTCTTAGCAACTATTACATCCATACTTAAGGACAATTTGGGTCATCAACCATACATGGTGTTCTCAACCCTACATATTGTTCTGAAGGCAATAAAAATGAATTATTAAACCACTTTGTTAAATTTACTTTTCTGTAGTACATTTTTTTGTGATGGTGATAGTCATGTTGAAGTATTGGCAGGCACATCAGATAACTATGGTGCATTTTGCTTCCAATCAGTCCAGCATGTTTTGGATGATAGACTTTTGAAAAAGTTCCCACCAGGCAGACCACAGGTGTCAAGTGATGAGAATATTTCACACTGGCTAACAAATATATAAATAGCTAACAAAATAGTTTTCGGGTGAAATACAACTCATTAACACAATAAGGAAAAAAATTAGCAGCCCTGGCTGCTTGGCATCTAAAATTAAGTCCGAGCTATCAAAAAAATAAACAGCAACTTATGTCAAGCTGTAAACATTGTTATTAAGTAGCATTTCATATCAGGACTCAGTCACCAAGTTGCTCAAAAATTAAATATAGGTCATGGTGCCCTAAAAGTTACAAACCATTATGCATGCTTTGTATTATATCAAAGATCAACATTTTGTCAGTTCAGAAAAGTGTCAAGAATAACAGTAATAACTGACAATAGCACTTCAGGAAAGGTTAACTAATTGAAACATGAACATAAGAGAGTACAAACAAAAATATTTCTTAAATACCTCTTCACTGATAATCAGCTCAGGAATGCTGTGAACCATGGCAACTGTGGCTGTTACTGGTTCCTTTCTTTCTCCTGCCATCCCTGCCTCTCTATACAAATAATTATATATATACTGATATATTAATATAGAAATATTGTTTCACTTTTTAAAATCCATTCTTTCTTTTGCATGCCAAAAAAATATAATTTATCATACACCAAAGAAGTCTACCTTTCTGACATATAAAACAAAATTATCCATCTGATTGCATTTTCCAAATCATCAGCTAAAAAGAACACTTACTGAATTCATGGGAGCTGCATTATATTTTGAAAACCCTTTTTGGTATTGAGCAAATAATATACCAACAACATAAGAATAGATTGAAATTCCTTTCTGATGCAAAAACAAGTCTCCATTTTTTCTTTTTCTCAAAGTTTCAAAGGACAGTTACTGTTCTGCAGAGAACATTTAACTGCACATACTATTAAGGCGAATTCTTCCATTTATAAAGGGACATTACTTGAGAACAGTGAAAGTGACACCACACAAATTCGAACATAATCTGTGTTTGGTGGTAATAAGCATTGTGTATAGGCTTCATATCATTTGGTAAGGCAAACTAAAGTTAGAGAACGGAAACCATTTTCGGGAAAAATGTACATACGTCGGACGGATAAGATTAAACCTTTATGCTATTTGATTGTTGATACCTTGTACTTACTCTCGGAGGTCAGCTCCACACTCGGCACACATATCTTTCATTACTGTAGGATGCCTACAAGGTTCGATTGTCACTAGAACAGACCTAGATTATAGTAAAAAAAAACTAAAATTAATGATAAAATTGATTCTGAATGATGTTCAAAATCTCTATTTGTCTTTGAAAGTTTCATATTTCTGTTGTGAAGATGACATGTATGCATCCACCTTTACACTGGAAAATGTGTTAGTATTAAACATGTTAAAGTCATAGATATCAATCCTCAATAACCTTAAATAAGACAATATAAATAAGAAAGATGTGGTATGATTGCCAATGAGACAGCTATCCACTGGAGACCAAATGATGAAGATTTAAGCAACTATAGGTCACCAAGTGTAAAACATAGTTCTGAATGTTTAATTAAGAATTGTGTTTTAATATGTAGAATAATAAATACAGTGTAGCTATTATAGACTTACACTGTACATGTAGTAACCTTTGATGGAATTCAATTTGCAATGGATCTAACTACCTTAAACCCTCTTGCTGCCAAAGGGACAAATGTGTCCGCTCTGGCTGTGCGGGAGAGACACACATGTCCATATTTTTAATTCATGCAAACATCTGTTCATTTCTGTATCTCTTTCAAATAATTAATAGAAGATTATACAGTGTAATATTTTTCTTCAATGCATCTCCAATATAACGTCATTAGGGCGTAACGTCATAGTTGTGCATTTGACGTCACAGACATCAAGCTGCAGTATTTTCTAGCACAGGAAACGTAACCATATTAAATTAGTGACAGCAAGAGGGTTAAAGGTAAGGCATTTTCCAAAATGTAACGGATTCTGAATGGCAAATATATTTTCTTTCCAATTTTTACCTGGTTCAGATGTACTGAATGGTGATGTAAGTTTAAGGCCAAAAAAAATAATACAAGTGTTTCCGCTAACGTGCTGAAAAAAAAATAGGGTAGGTAGGTAGGCAATATCATTTTATTTAATTTTTACAAACATTTTTATCTGGTTACTACTAGGGAATCAGTCTGACATTAACAGTGCTTGTTCCAAAATGGCATAAAAAGTGTTTGGGTACACACTAAAAATAGGGTAGGTAGGGTTAGCAAAACACATGTATTATTTTTTTAGCCTAATACATGTAGGTACCAGTTTGAAGTGAGGTAGATGGTAAAAAATTTCCTGAATAGAGTTGATACTGTTTGATAAGGGAATCTGAAGGCAGCCAATTCAGAAAATCGCTCGAGACACAAAATCATGAAAAGGAATTATGTATATGAAAAAGTCAGGATATTGGACCATACATGTATTTATGGTCCTAGTTGACAATGGCACACGTTGCCTTATCGTGGTCAAGTTTACAATGGTATGAGTTAACTTGCTTCGAAAACAAACATGCATCAATACACCTTATCGTTATTTGTCCGCCATTATTGGACATCACATAGGTTCCCGTAAAATTTTGGCATTACAATAGAAAATGTCTGACGCCACAAAGGAAACGGGATTGTTGAATGACGTCAATAATTCAAGTGTCGCAGATTCCAAAATAGCCATATAAGGGTCGGTATCGGGTCCGTTCGCGCCCAATACACGTTCACACCCTACACGTTCGCACCCCACACGTTCGCCCCCTAGGTCCGTTCGCACCCTTTTTTTTATTCAAAAACCTGATAAATTTTTAGATGTTTTGTAGATGTTTATATCAAAATATTTTTATTTTCATAAATAAAAATTCGGGAATTTTTAAATGAAATATTTTTTTAAATTGATTTGATGATTAATTATTAAATGTTAATTATGTATGATTACTGCTAATTGGTATTTATACACAGCCTAATATGGTGTTATTGTTGAGTGTTTAAAAATCATGATTGTTGTCATGGTTGTTTTAACTTGCTTTAAATGTAAATACTGCATGTATTTAGCTTGGTATGAGTAAAACTTTGAAGATTTAAATAGAAAACAAAAGTTGCAGGCTCGACAAAAATGAAGACTTTCATGACTTTAGTATAGAATTTAAGTAATCAAAATACAACTATGCCTTCACATAAACGCTGTCCATCTCAACTTCATCGTAAACGTGTTGGAAATTAATTTTGGAGTTACTTCCCCTGTTTTAGCTTATTACAAATTTGTGCTCCTAAAATATTATCTATCTTTGAAAATAGGAATAAAGTACCAATTAAATACAAAATTATATAAGAATGTTACCTTAAAGATCAAAACTGTCTATGAACATACCAAAAAAAATATATTGCAATTCATTTTTGATAATCATACTTTTATCAATCCATGTTCTATCTAGACATTGTCAATTTAGATTATAATTATATCTTGTGAAAGTTGTTAAGCTGTAATCCTACAAAAATCGAATTAGGACTAGCTAAACTATCATGACAAGTTAATTGGATTTATACTAAATAAATCATTGACAGGAACAATGAAAAAAGTTGAGAGGGCCAAACTCTAGCTGAAATTTTTTAATGAGACAACTCTAAAATATGAGATGTTTAGTTTATGCTGTTTTTTTTGGAGGGGGGGGGGGGGGGGGGGGGGTTATAGTTATAGTTATTTTGACTCTTTTGGTTGATAGTGATGTGATGTATGAACGTGTATTGCCATGTATTATGAACATGTAGTATGAATGACTTTTCTAATGCAAATTTTATAGAATAAATAATCAAAACAACAACTTATTATCTTTATTGTCAACATATACAGTAAAAAAACAATGTGAACTCGTGATACACACAGAAACGTAGAAAAAAAAAAAATGAGCAGTGCCTTTTCCTATCATAAAAAAGTGCCCTGCCCTCCACTGGCACCCTGCCCCTTTCAATTTAGCTGGAGCACTGATTTAGAAACAATGAAACAAAATTTAATATATATATATAGAGCAATACACTTACCTAAACATGATTAAAAACTATTCAACACAAAAATAAAATACTGGTCGTCAGAATCTCACTTTATTTAAAAACAATGTTTTGATAACTTTTGTGGGTCATCCTAAGATATTAGGCTACAGTGAAAATCTAATCAATTTAAATTTCACTCATTATTTTAATCTAGTCAATTCATATTATCAAAATATCATGAAAATTTTCATAATCTTATTTTTTAAATTAAAATTTTCAGTAAACATGTATATCATTTTAGTGTCTATAAACTATGTCTAGTGCTATATCTGTGTCTTTGTTATATTTTGTATCTGTCAAATTCATGCCTTTTTATCTTGAATAAATATATATAATGAAAAAAAAATGTTTATAGCAATACATTTACCATGACACAAAAAAAAAACCTTGTCAGAATCTCACTTTATTTAGAAACAATGAAAAAATATATATTTATAGCAATACACTTACCAAAACTCGTTTACAAATTATTAAACACAAAACCAATAAAAATTGGGCGCGAACGTGTACAGTGCGAACAGACTTTGGGTGCGAAAGTGAAAGGGGGCGAACGTGCATGGGGGCGAATGTGATTGGGCGCGAACGGACCCGGATTCATTTGGGTCTATAACCTTCGGGGGTAACAAGACATTTCGGCACCCAGACAAATCGGCACCCAAGTCCGAAGACATTTCGGCATCCATTTTGGACAGTTCGGGATCCGGACATTTCGGGACCAAGACAATTCGGCACCTCATTTTTTTTAAATATATATATTAGGAAAAATAAAAGAATTGTTACCGTAATATTATAATCCGTTGATAAAATAACAAAATTTGAAATCATCATTTAATTAAATCCTAAATGATTGTGTATGAATAGTAAAACATCATTTAATTAAATCATAATTGATTGTTAGATATGACGGTGTTTGAATAAACATCATTTAATTAAAATAAAATCATAATTAATTGTAGTTATGCATTAATCAGTATTTTATGTATAAATCTGATAATTTCTCAATAGAGACAAATGAGAAATCAAAAGTGTATAGCTTGTGTTTCAGCTTGTGTTCTCGTTTGATTCTTGCATCTGTAAAGACAACACAATACCTGAAAACTATATTTTATTGTTTTAATATTAAAACCCATAAACATAAAAGCGTGTGCAAGCCATAATGAGTAAAAACCCAGAAACATATGTAACACTCCCAAACGTGTCCATCCCCCCAAACGTGTCCGATTCCCCCCAAATGTGTCTATTCTCCCCAAACGTGTCCGTAATATTCAATATGGCCCAAACGTGTCCGATTTCAAAACCCCCAAACGTGTCCGATAATTGTTATTCGCCAAAACGTGTCCACTGTTAAACGCCATAACGTCTCACGTCTTTTAGCGCCAATACATGTATGTCCTAAATAAAATCAATAACGTTTACGGCAATTCTATGATGGGGAAACAGTTGATGAGGTAGTAATTTATAAGCATTAGTTTGTTCAATGCCGGTTGTTAATGATTATCATAATTGCAAATTTAATATGTAACATATGAATTAACTTTTGACTGAATTTGCATATTGTCCAGTTGCAAGTATTTCATGCTCATTAAGAGCGAACATACATATAATTCTAGTGCAGTATAATTAATCGTTTACTCTGTAAATTATGAGTTGCTAATAAACTCCGATGATGCCTTTTATATTAATCCGAAGGCAGGCTTTCAGCAGAATTGACTTCCCTTTTTTTCAACAGTTCTGATATTTTAAAAGCTCTTCAAATCAAAAACTGGTTTTCCGGGTTTCTAATAAATTTTAGGTTTCGAGCATCACTTAAGACACACGAACAAGAGAAATAACATCCAGTGCCAAATATTTCAGTCATGCATTATTTGAACGAAATCATGTTAACAATAAATACTGTATATAGGTTCTATTATCATACCGGGAATTTAGGATTGGGCCTAAATTGTTGCAGTTATTCGAGATTAACACTAGTTGGGATTGTAATCTAAAAAAATAAGAGCGTGTGAAGACCGATTTTTTTTATGACTTCAGTTAGAAACTACTGCAATCTCCGTTATGTAATAGAGGCCGTTTTAAATAAAAGTTGCGGAAATTTAAAAAAATTGTTGCCTTCCATAATACAACTGATGGCACCATGAAAGAGTGAATTGCTACATTCTCCCTACACGAGGTATCTGATTTAATATCTACAATTAAATGAGCATGGCTGCTAATACATTTACATTGTTGAAGGCTTGCCTATAATTGCTTACATCCACTTTATTTGAACTTTGGTGGATAGTTGCCTCATTGGCAATCATACCTCATCTCCTTATTTTTATAAGGATAAAAATGATAAGCATGTTAAGATTTATCTGCCACGTAATTTTTCAAACCAATTGGACAACCCTATTTGCATTTATTGCATCTGGAATTATAAATTTTACGAAATATCTCTGTTTTTTTTTTTTTTTTTTTTTTTTTTTTATTATTATTATCTTAAATGCTGATAAAGAGAAATTTTGAACAGCAAGTTGAGATCTACAACTAAGTTAACTAAGTTATCTTCAACTAAGTTAACTAAGTTAACTGACCGAAATTGTAAATTTATCCCTTATAGGAGTTATTGGCTTGAAAGGCATTTTTTTTTAAATTAAATTTTCAAGTTATTTTTAAGAAAGTATAATAGATGAAGGGAAACTTTAAGTGACAAAAATGTTCAACAAAATTAGATCTACGAATAAGTTGACAAGACAGCTATCCAAATGACTAAGCTGCAATACAGTCTTCACAAATAAAAAAAAACAAAAAGAATAAGATACTTCTTCAAAGATACCATATACAATATTGACAATAATGTCATAAATAGTGCAGGAATTAAATTGGTAATTTGTAAAAACAGTCAAACATAATCGCTATATTAACACTAAACTTGTAAATTGAGTTCATACCCACATACATATATCAGTGCCAGGTAACTTTAATGTTTGGTTCACTATATTTTGATCAAGGATAAAATAATTGATTTTATCTTTATAAGGTGCCGATTTGTCTATGTTAGATGCCGATTTGTCTAGATGCCGATTTGTCTGGGTGCCGAAGTGTCTTTCTCGGGTGCCGATTTGTCCGGATGCCGATTTGTCTGGGTACCGAACTGTCTAGAATTCACCTTCGGGAGCTTTCAGCTTTTACCTGATGTTGACCTGCCTCATATAATTTACAACACAGAGCTTAAGACATGAGATGCATAAAAAAGGTCCAAGAAGGGTAAATTTCATCGTAGCCAGATTTGTATTGGCATGACTATGTGATATGATCTTGTCACTGTATTTCACTATTTCAGTATTTGTTTACCCTGGTGGTTTTCTGTCACCTTCCTGACCCATGATTTCACAGATTGTGCCAACTTCATTGGCTTTTATCTTCAGACCTTTTGCATCATCAGTTTCATAAATACACAATATTGCTCCTTGATTGACTTTGTGTCCAGGTTTTACTTTCCATTTCGTGATTCTGATATTTTTATTTGGAGCGCGAACGGACTTCATGGCCGCTTCCATATTGACGTCTCGCAGTAAAGATATTTCCAAAACTTAAAAAAATAGAAACTATTTAGCAAATATATGATAGATTTAAAATGAACAAATATTTACAAAACAAAATTTGTCATTTGAAAAGCCAAGGGGATATTCAAGTATGAAATAACTTTAATTTAACCAATCAGATATTGCTGACACTTATTCTGCTCATGGCGCTTTTTTCGAACGACAGACCGAAGGAATGTCAACAGAATTTATTGTTAGATCTTGTATGAATTCTAATGCAAACGAATTAATTTCCAACACATACACAGTTCATTTAACACATACAAAATTATTGGGAGCCAGGACGGTAACCCCAACGTCTTTAGACACAAAATTTATTTTCAGTTCTTTTGAAGGTAAAAACTTTCAAAAAGGGGGAGTTGTTTTGATACGAAAATTATTTAATACCTGGATCATACTGAACAGAGTCTTCTACATATTCTTCAGATAAACAGTTTCACCTTCCTATGATTATGAGATTATGGTGGCATAAAATTTGTTTATTTATGTTAATAACAATAAAATATTGTTTAAAAGGTGTTATTTATTAATCTGAATTATTTAAGTTAATATGAGCTCTTTAGCTGTATATCTGAAATATACAGTCAAATCGGCACCTGGTTAATTCGCCACTCGATGTAGTTATTTCGGCACCCTTGTTAAATATGTTGAATATAAATATATATATATATTAACTTACATGTGATGATTTTTATACGCCCGTTTACCATGTTTACAGGACGTATTATGGTATACCGTTGTCAGTCAGTATGTCTGTCCATCAACAATTCCGACAATAACTCAAATAATTTTCACCAATTTTCATGAAAGTTTGATGAATTCTTTATATCTATCATGTCTATTGATATAATAATGTAATGTTTATGTCATGTTGTTATTAATGTTATGCTCTTAATGGGCCCTTTAATTTGGAAAATAAAAATATTGTATTGTATTGTATTGTATTGACATAAGCTCCCTTTCGATTTTTATAAATTTTAAATTTTATGTTTCCGAGTTAAATGTATCATGGTCATGGGATTTTATTCATAAAAAAATGTGGAATTTTCCAGTTTTCTGACTATAACTCCAAAATGCTCTGAACAATTTTCATGAAACTTTGGTCAATTGTTTATATATTAAAAAGAAGTTCCCTTTCGATTTTTTTAAAATTCTGATTTTATGTTTTGGAGTATTGGAGACTTAGGGGGCTTGTTTATATCTATTAAAATAAGCTCCGTTTTGTTATTTTATGAATTTCTGATATGACATGGCAGAGTTATTGAACCATGAAAATGGGGTCATGTCATATTATACCTGCCAGACAAACATAATATGACCTTGACCCCATTTTCATGGTTCATTGGTCAATGTTAAGTTTTTGTGTTTTTTGTCTGTTTTTCAATTACCATAAGCAATAGGTCAACTATATTTGGTGTTTAAAAAAATTGTAAGGTGTACATGTCTGTCCGACAGGATTTATCTGACCTTGACCTCATTCTCATAGATCTTTAAAAATGTAAAGTTTATGTGATACTTTTAGTAAAACCTTTATCTTTAAGACTTTCAACATAAAATCAATGGTCAGTTAAGCAGGCGAGACATTTCAGCGTGTATACTCTTGTTTATGTAAGCTGTTTTGTGCCTCATACTGATCTTTTGAGTTAAGCCAATTGCAAATGATTTTTACAGTTCTTATGTTTTGCTGTTACACCACTGGCCTAGGTTAGGAGGAGGGTTGAGTGCTCCATATATGTTTAACCCTGCCACATTATTTATGTAGATATAAGAAGAATCTGTTTCAAGTCAGGAGCCTGTAGTTCAGTGGTTGTTGTTGGTTCATGTCTGTCATGTTAACTCCCACGTCATTTTTTCTCCGGTGGAGAGTTGTCTCATTGGCAATCATACCACATCTTATTTTTATAATAACTGTTTTTCGTTAATTGTTTTGTTATAAATTAGGCAGTTAGCTTTCTTGTTTCAATTGTTTTGCATCGTTCATGTCAGGCCTTTTATAGCAGTCTATGGTGTGGGTTTTTTCTCATTGTTGAAGGCCACACGGCATACAACCACTTCATGTGTACTCTGGTGGATAGTTGTCTCATTGGCAATTATACCTCATATTCTTATTTTTATGATAATTATTTATAATGTAATGGAGTGGTAATGAAATATGGAAACTGTTAATTGATGTTAGGAAAATTTAAAGTTTTTTGTTAAAATAACTTTCTACAGAAAATCCGTTATGGGCATGAAGAGGTTCTTTTTTTTTCAAGTATATAGTAAATACATGAAATAAATGTACTTAGTGTACTTTATAGGTAATGTTCCAGGAGTAGAAGATAATGAGAGGTCAGGATGAAGTTGACAATTGTACTCCTCCTTTATCTAGTAGGAAGCAGTTATTCTCCAACACGGCCTCTAGAAGAAGCTCAAGAAGATTCACTCCATATGGCCGAACGCCTAAAAGTAGACAGTTAAAAGGTACAATTAGATTAATACCAGCTATTTTTCAGCTTTCTTTCAGGAACATGATTGATATAAACTAATTAGAATATGATTTGTTTGTCCACTGTGTACATATTTTAGAACACCAGTCAGATCTATATATTGATGAAGGCTATTATTGTCAAGCCTTGCGTCCACAAATATTCACTCTGTGGTTAAAAGTTTTTGAAATTTTAATAACTTTCTTAAACTATCCTGATTTTCTACCAAACTTGGACAGAAGCTTGTTTATGATCATAAGATAGTATCCAGAAGTAAATTTGAAAAAAAAAATTCCTGTTTTTCCGTATTTTACTTATAAATGGACTTAGTTTTTCTGCCAGGAAACATTACATTCACTCTGTGGTTAAAGTTTTTGAAATTTTAATAACTTTCTCAAACTATCCTGGATTTCTACCAAACTTGGACAGAAGCTTGTTTATGATCATAAGATAGTATCCAGAAGTAAATTTTAAAAAAAAAATCCTGTTTTTCCGTATTTTACTTATAAATGGACTTAGTTTTTCTGCCAGGAAACATTACATTCACTCTGTGGTTAAAGTTTTTAAAATATTTATAACTTTCTTAAACTATCCTGGATTTGTACCAAACATGGACAGAAGTTTGTTTATGATCAAAAGCTAGTATCTAGAAGGAAATTTTTATTAAAATTTTGTACTTGTTTATCCATATTTAACTTATAAATGGACTTAGTTTTTCTTCGAGTTAACATTACATACAGTCTGCAGTTAAATTTTTTAAAACATTTATTAGATTCATAAACTATCCTGGATTTTTACCAAACTTGGACAGAAGCTTTTCACAATAACAAAAATTATCGAGAGGAATATTTTTATTAAATTTTTTCCTTATCTCATTTTTGTTGAGCCTGCGATTAACAGCAAAAGTAGGCGAGACACTGGGTTCCGTGGAACCCTTACAAATTTTTACTGAACTAGTACGTATTTTTGTTTAGGGGCCAGCTGAAGCACGCCTCTGGGTGTGGGATTTTCTCGCTGTATTGAAGACCCATTGGAGGCCTTGGGCTGTTTTCTGCTCTTTGGTCGGGTTGTTGTCTCTTTGACACATTCCCCATTTCCATTCTCAATTTTAATTTAGAAATTATGAATTAGAATGTATATTACAATAACTGATCACAAAATGTTTAAGTTACTGTTGAAACAAATTGAAAAGATACACAATTTTCTTCAGAGCAAACTCTTTTTTCAGAAATATTAATGCAAATATGTCTATTCAGTAGCAGTCCATATTTCTTTAGTCTATGATAATGAAATTGGGTTGGTCATTTAATACAAGAATGTAATACATACATGTATGTGTTGTAAATTTTAATGGGGACATGTATCACGATTTTCATAGAAAAATTGTCTCATGCTGATATTTTCCATCTTTAGGGTTTCTAAGACAATCATAATTTGGGCAAATGGTTTTACCTTTTTTGACAAGTAGTTCACTTGTCCTAAAGCTGAATAGATAAGTTCAGCCAAATTTTTTTTGTTGAACCCTAAGAGTTTGCTCATATAATTCTTAGTTATTTTGCAGAAAATATTTTCAGAGTTAGAAAGCATATATTTTCACTTTATTGTAGGTAAAAACTATGAAATACTTTCAAAGGGAACAGCTGAAAGAAGTAGGGCAAGAGAAAGAAGATCAACTGTTGAAACTGATGAGGAACATGAAAGTAACCTTAAAGGTACAAATTATGCTCTTGTCTTACATCAGTTAAGCATGACACAGAACTTTTTTGTAGGGATATGTTATAAGTTATTTGATGTAATATAAGGTGCGTCACAGGTTAAGTGTTTCAAGTAACTGGTGAAATTTACCTGTACAGATCACTGAAGCTTTTCTCCAATTCAGTAGGAAATGGAGACTTGTTAAAGTCTTCTGCAAAAATAAGATGCATTTATCCTGTTGGGATTGTAAGAGTTTGTCAGTACAATATCAAAGATTGAGTGTTTTCCCTTTGCTCAATAGGTTATGTCCATCAAAAACACTTATCTCTATTGAAACAGAGATCAAAAACACTGATCTCTATTGAAACAGAGATCAAACCAACATAATTTCAATTAAAAACATCAGTTTTAGTTGTAGTTTACAGCCGATTTCATTGAGTGTGTAGAGAAAGGTAAAATCCTTGGTTAGCTTGCTTGTTAGCTGAACCGTGAAGTCATTATTAGGTTAGGTAAACTACCCTCCTTTAAGAGTAGACTAGTCCGACAGACAACCAATCTATCTGTCTGTAGGACTAGACTAATTCGAAAGGAGGGTAGTATACCTTACCTAATAATGAACTCACAGTTCAGCTAACAAGCAAGCTAACCTAGGATTCTACATTTCCCTACACATTCAATGCAATCGGCTGTAACTCTGTGATTAAAGTAGGCTGGTATCCAATGCTGAAAATAAAATTTTTCAAAAATCTAACTTGGTATGAATATAACTTTTTTGATTTATTCATGCATAGTGTGACCATGGTTTCAGTAAACAGAGGCAGTCTTTGATGCAGTGTTATGGTTATTAAGTCAGCCATTAAGGGATACCATGTAGGACCAAAGAAGGATGAGGTTAACCTTAGAATCCTATGGGAAAAATTGTTTCATAATATTTAACTTTTTACAATACATGTACAATTTACTTTATGTTTCTCTCAGGTTTTACCACTAAGCAAAGCAATAAATGAAATGAAAGCAATTTCCAGTAAAAAAAATTGACAAGAAGTATGCATGTTATTGGATTCTTTTTCACAGCTAAAAGATGATACTTGTTTTTTGATAGGATTCAGCTAGTGAAATACAATGTGGTATCCAGTAAGAAAATGATGTCCCAAGGTCATGTGTTTGGGTTCATATAATGGGGCATCCAGTTAGAAAATGATGTGCCAAGGTCATGTGTTTGGGTTCATATAATTGGGCATCCAGTTAGAAAATGATGTGCCAAGGTCATGTTTTCAGATTCATAAAATGGGGCATCCAGTTAGAAAATGATGTGCCAAGGTCATGTGTTCAGGTTCATATAATGGGGCATCCAGCTAGAAGATGATGTGTCAAGGTCATGTGTTCAGGTTCATATCATTGGGCATCCAGCTAGAAAATGATGTGTCAAGGTAATGTTTTCAGGTTTTATAATTGGGCATCCATCTAAAAAATGAGTGTCAAGGGAATGGATTCATGCTTAAAAGAGAACCCAGCTATAAACATTTTGTTTTATATTTTTGTAAGTACATGTACTAAGTTATTTTATATGTCCTTATTTATTTATAGGTTTAACCAATAAGTCATGGAAGTTATTTAAGATGACACCCCTGTATAAATTCAAAACAGAATCGTCTCAACTGAAGAAGTACAGTAGTCAATTATCAGCACATATAGAAGCGGTAATATTGTATTATGTATTGATGTATACAATGATATTTTTTGCTATGGCACATTTTTGTTATCTATGTAATATGGTAGGATATGATGGGCAGGGAAAAAAATATGGCAGACGGTAACCAATGATAACCACTGTTTTATTGGGCCTAAATTAATATATTTTTTGTTTCCCCAATCCCGACCCTGCAAAGCCAGGTGCAGATAGGTAGGTAGGGAAATGATTTTATTTTTCCCAAAAAGTTGGAACAATATCATTTGATCTGGCAAGCCTGAAAATTGGAAATGAATAAAATAATATTTAGTTTTGACAATAAAATTCTATGAGTCGGACCGTTTTTGCAGGGTTTGTGGGGATTAGGGAAACAAACAATATTTTATTTTAGGCCTTGGATCTTGGCTGCAGACAAGGACATAAAGAATGTGGTGGGATTAAATGTGTTAATGAGTTCTTTAACCTCCCCTAACATTAGTAAGTGGTGTAAAAGCACAACTGAAGAACATATGTAAAACATATGTAAAAAAAATATGTTGAAAGTGCTTGACTCCTCAGGTTGGTACTTTGCTCAAAAACAACTAACAAAATGACCTAAGAGTACTCAGTTTCTGAAATCTAGTTTAAAGCTTACTTTCAACTAATGATTAGACCACGATATAATCATGATGTTACATAGGATATGGGTAAGCCTAGGGACAATGAGTATTTGAAACACACATTCTGCAAGCACCTATTCATCTGACATCTGTTGCATTTTGAATAAGCATAGATTTTTAACCACTGCCCATAAAATATTAGATAGAAAAAATTGAGAATTTGCTTCGAAAAGTCATTGATGTTGTATGAGTCATCCACAACCCCTACATTTTTTTCATTTTAAGTGCCTGCCTGCCAAACACACATACAACTTTTGGGATTCAAATTACAGTTTATGTGATTTATTTTTGTTATAAATATGAATGAACAATGTTTGTATAATTAATGTTTTTTTTTTTTTGCAGGAAAGACAGAAAGGTTTATTTATAGATAATACCACATCCAGTAAAGCTTACATAAGTACTTATAATGGACTTCGTGTCTCAGCAGGTTAGTTTATCTTTACTTTTCATAAATGTGTTGATACCACTTGACATAAATCAAATGGCATATTTTATCTGTATTTAAGGCACTACTAAATTTTGCCGTTTTGACAAATTTTGCATATATTTCTAGATTCAACTTTCAAATTTGTGCATTTTCACATTCGCATTGATAGAACAATGCTTGTGTTATTACGTCACGCTAAGAGTTATATTTTGTGAGTCACATACACTCCAGAAAACCACTAAGAAATGAGTACCCCACAAATGATAATCCACATAAGCTTATAAAAATAAGAAGATGTGGTATGATTGCCAATGCAACAACTCTCTGACAGAGACCAAATGACATAAAAATTAACAACTATAGGTCACCTTACAGCCTTCAACAATTATCAAAACCCATACCGCATAGTAAGCTATAAATGGCCCTGAAATGACAAATGGAAAACAATTCAAACAAGAAAACTAAAGGCCTGATTTATGTACAAAACAATGAAATAAAAACAAATGTGATATACAGCAACATACGACATCCACTGACTTACAGGCACATACATGTGGCAGGATTAAACATGATTGAAGGCGCCAACCTTTCCCCTAACCCGGCACAATGGTGCAACAGCACAACACAAGAACAAACTATACAAAACAATAAACAAAAAACAAATATGAGAAACAGCAATAAATGACAACCACTCAATTACAGGCTCATGAATTGGGACAGGCATCTATAGAAACATGTTTCCTGGAACTAAACCCTCCTCCTAACCTGGGATAGTGTTGTAACAGTAGGACATAAGAACAAACTATAAAAATCAGTTGAAATGGCTAAACTCATCAGATCGATACAAAGCACATAAAATCCCTAACACAAACACAAAAGACACAAAGTACAGATCTGAGAGTACTCACAGTTTCTGGAAAGCTAGTTCAAAGCCAGTAACAACTAATAAAAATCATGAGTCTAAGACTAATATATCAATCCGTACACATCTAATGGATTTAGTGTAAAGATGTCATTAACAGTCAGAGAAAAACATGACCTTGTGCAATGTTTATATGAAATGGTTATCAGTCATCACTTTTAAGAAATCAGCAGCTGCTTTTTGTCTTGAAAAATATTTCCATATTCTTAAAGTATATCATGCTTGTATGTTGATAATGATTGATATTCTAAATGCCAACTCCTGACAATTTCCATTTGATAAAAAATTCCTCAAACTAAACCAACAGATCTTTAAAGATTGACCATTTATTGTAAGATTTTTGCAAACTTTGTAAAATATAAGGATTTTTCAATTTTGAATTCTACAAAAAAAATTTACCAAAAATATTCCAGCTTCCAATTTGAAAGGCAAGAAACTGTCCAAAAAAACATCAGCATAAAATTTGTGTCCCTGTTCCTAAGCCTTTTTGCCAAAATCCTCCTTCTCTGGCATGCATTCAATTTTGTTATACTTGGAGTCCGATCATGCATATTAGAATGACTAAAACTATTGGAATAAACGTTTTTTGCACATCAAGATCATTTGCCTTTTGAAAAGATCTCCATAATTTTGAAAACCTGAAGAGACTGCAAAAATATAGTTTCATTTATGTTTTTAGCTGACAAAGAAGCTGTCCAGATTTTGATCAAAGGACGAAATCGTGGAGGTATTTATATTTATATATATATATATTTATTTATAGGCATACATCATTTAAAAATCACAAAGGAAAAGAGATTTCTCTTCCTTAAATTGACAAGGAAAAATAATGAGACATGGCATGGAAATGATAAAACATCTGTTCCTGATCTTGGATCAAAGCATTTAGGCTTAAAATGTCCTTGATGTTCCAGAGAAAACCTGAGATCCAACCAAAGCAATTTTGTACTAACAAGAACCCTTGTCATAATTTTAGTCCAAAATTTGCAGAAAATATTCTAGTGAAAGAACCTAAGATCACACCTAATACATCAACAAGTTCTGCTTTCATTTCAGTAAAAAAATTGTATATTAATTCCTCTGAAAGAAAAATAAAAAGGGCTCCTAAGGGCATAAAAAGGGAGCTGTTCTGTCTGACTTGAATTAAAGCATAATCAATGCCATTTATATAAGAACTAAGAGAGAATTATTATTTAATTATGTTATAGGTTTGCTGTTGTTATTTTTCTCCATCTGTCTAGATAACTTATTACAAGCTGACTTATTACTATATAATTTAAATCCCACTTTTTATGAAACAAGGGGTCAACAAAAGAGTTTTAATTAAATATTTTGTGCATTTACATTTCAGCATTCAGCATAGATAACTGCAAGTCTATAATATGCATGAAATATTTGTCGATAGTAGAGGGGCATTATGGTTTTCCGTCTGTGCATCCATACGTTCGTCCGTTCATCCGTCTGTCCCGCTTCAGGTTAAAGTTTTTGGTCAAAGTAGTTTTAGATGAAGTTGAAGTCCAATCAACTTGAAACTTAGTACACATGTTCCCTATGATATGATCTTTCTAATTTTAATGCCAAATTAGAGTTTTGACCTCAATTTCACGGTCCACTGAACATAGAAGATGATAGTGTGAGTGGGGCATCTGGGTACTATGGACACGTTCTTGTTTTTTTAATGAAAAGCCCTGTCTGGAACATGTCAGCTGATTAAATTGTATACGGTGATTTTTATATGCCCGTTTACGGGACGTTTTATGGTATACTGTTGACCGTCTGTCCGTCCGTCCGTCATCAACATGTCGGACAATAACTCAAAAACGCTTTAACCAATTTGCATGAAACTTTGGTGAATTGTTTATATCTATTGACGTGAGCTCCCTTTCAATTTTTATAAATGTTAAATTTTATATTTCCGAGTTATGGGGTTTTATTCATTAAAAAAGGGGGATTTTCCAGTTTTTCGGAAATTAACTCAAAAACCCTTTCGCCAATTTGCAAGAAACTTTGGTGAATTGTTCATATCTTTTTACATGAGCTCCCTTTCGATTTTTATAAATTTAAGTTTTTACGTTTCCAAGTTATGGGGTTTTATTCATTAAAAAAGGGGGGATTTTCCAGTTTTCGGACAAAAACTCCAAAATGCTTTGAGCAGTTTTCAGGAAACTTTGGTGAATTGTTTATATCTATTGAAGTAAGCTCCCTTTCGATTTTTAAAAATTCTAGATTTTACGTTTTTGTCGAGCCTGCGACTTTTGTCGCAGAAAGCTCGACATAGGGATAGTGATCCGGCGGTGGCGTTAGCTAACTTCTTAAAAGCTTTATATTTTAGAAGGTGGAAGACCTGGATGCTTCATACTTTCTATATAGATGCCTCATGTTACGAAGTTTCCGTCAGTCACATGTCCAATGTCCTTGACCTCATTTTCATGGTTCAGTGACTACTTGAAAAAAAAAGTTCAGATTTTTTGTAATGTTAAATTCTCTCCTATTATAAGTAATAGGATAACTATATTTGGTATGTGCGTACCTTGCAAGGTCCTCATGCACGTCAAACAGTTTTCACTTGACCTCGACCTCATTTCATGGATCAGTGAACAAGGTTAAGTTTGGTGGTCAAGTCCATATCTCAGATACTATAAGCAGTAGGTCTAGTATATTCGGTGTATGGAAGGACTGTAAGGTGTACATGTCCAACTGGCAGGTGTCATCTGACCTTGACCTCATTTTCATGGTTCAGTGGTTATAGTTAAGTTTTTGTGTTTTGGTCTGTTTTTCTTATACTGTATGCAATAGGTCTACTATATTTGGTGTATGGAATGATTGTAAGGTGTACATGTCTAGCTGGCAGGTGTCATCTGACCTTGACCTCATTTTCATGGTTCAGTGGTTATAGTTAAGTTTTTGTGTTTTGGTCTGTTTTTCTTATACTGTATGCCATAGGTCTACTATATTTGGTGTATGGAATGATTGTAAGGTGTACATGTCTAGCTGGTAGGTGTCATCTGACCTTGACCTCATTTTCATGGTTCGGTGGTCAAAGTTAAGTTTTTGAGTTTTGGTCTTTTTTTCTAATACTATATGCAATAGGTCAACTATAAATGGTGTATGGAAATATTTTATGATGTACATGTCAGTCTCACAGGTTTTATTTGACCTTGACCTCATTTTCACGGTTCATTGCTCAGTGTTATGTTTTTGTGTTTTGGTCTGTTTTTCTTCAACTATAAGCAATAGATCAACTATATTTGATGTATGGAAGGATTGTAAGGTGTATATGTCTGTCTGGCAGGTATCATCTGACCTTGACCTCATTTTCATGGTTAATTGGTCAATGTTAAGTTTTCATGGTTAAGTTTGTTTCTTAGATACTATAAGCAATAGGTCAACTACCGTAGAAAGGCTTGTATAGTTCGCAGTGGTACATAGTCCGCACCCCCTTCTCCCCACGAAATTTTAGGTAAAAAAACTTTTTGTAACTGTTAGAAAAGGTCTAATGAAACTCTGGTAATTTCAAATCCTGTGCGGTCGTTTGTGGTATTTTCTTGGAAAACCCTGTTTTCCATCATCAAACAGAAGCTGAAACTGCTTGTAAATGATTCTAGAACGCTTCATGATTGTTAAAATAAGTTTAATTCACTTAAAAAACAATTTAGAAACTTGTGTATGTTTAAACAGGAAGTTTAAAAAGCACGTGTAAAAGAAGAAATTAACCGGTGAGAGTCGAAATCCGTACATAACAGATATCACTATAATACGACTTTGAAAGTAAAACAGTTCTATCCTTTTGTAAAACAGTCTTTAATATATCTATCACATTAATGTTTGAAGGGTCTTAAGCTAATACAAACCATATTAGTCAGTATGAAACACCAAAACGGAACGAACAATGACCGATTACGTTTTGTAGTTTACAAATTCTTAGCTGGTTTACGGTTGTCTTTTTCACTATGTTTGTATCGTTTCAATCAATCAGATACCAGTTTATTTCAACCAATGCATTGAAAAGAAACGAGAAATTTGTAATGAAAGGTTTAGTTTTTATATTTATCAGTATTAATTTGATATTGAATAGAAATAACTTATTAATATGGATGAGTTAAAATTATTAGTTTGAAAAATGATAAGAGCGCCCTCTACAATATAAATAACAAAGATGGCGGAACGTAAACAAACCACCTCGCCCGCGAAATTGAAATTTTTCTCTTATTTCTTGCTTATTGTACTCTATAGTCCGCACCCCGTCTGGAAGGTCCAATTTTGGAGAATAAAACCGCGGACTATACAAGCCTTTCTACGGTATATTTAATGCATAGATTGATTGTAAGGTGTACATGTCTGTCTGGCATTGTTCGTCTGACCTTGACCTCATTTTCATGGTTCATTGGTCAATGTTAAGTTTTCTTGTTTAAGACTGTTTCTTAGAAACAATAAGCAAGAGGTCAACTATGTTTGGTTAATTGAATGATTGTAAGGTGTACATGTATTTCTCGTTTGGTTTATCTGACCTTGACCTCATTTTCTTGGATCATGTTAAGTTTATGTGTTACTCATAGTAAAGCTTTGTATTTAGGACTATCAACATAAAATCAATGGTTAGTAAAGAAGGCGAGACATTTCAGCGTGTGCACTCTTGTCTAGTTTTCGGACAATATCTTTAAAGTGCTTTGAGCAGTTTTCATGAAACTTTAGTGATTGGTTTATATCTATTAAAATAACCTCCCTTTGGTTTTTTATAAATTTCTGATATGACATTGAGAAGTTATTGAACTTTATTCTTTGAAAAAGCGACGGGCGTATCATGCGTTCATGGCGCAGCTGTTTATTTATTTTTTTTTTTATGAATGCAAATATCAGATTAAATAATTTTCTTCTGTTTCAGGTTTTGGAGATGAAACAGTTCTATTAACGTCTTTATTATGTAGTGTTGAAATGGAACATAATCCAGTAGAGCCTAAGTTACGGGATAAATTTGCATATTATCCTTTACTAATGGTGAAAGGCCTGGTATCTCTTACTGATGGATTAATTACTTGGATGCAGGTAGTTAACAGCTTCATTATTTCCCCTTGTTCTTTCATTGTACAAAGTTTTAAACAAACACATATAGTGCACAATAGATAGTAAACATGTTTTACATCTTAGATGACTAACATATGTTGAAGGTTTATGATAAAATCTTAGTTTATCAGTTTCTCAAATACTGTATGTAATATGTCAACTATATTCCTTGTATAGAAGGATTGTCAAGTACATCTTTGTATGACAGGAATCATCTAAATCTTGCCTCATTTTCATGGAACATTGATAAGATTTCTAGTTAATGTGATACCTGTAGTTAAACCTTGATTTTAAAGACTTTTAACAGAAAATTTAATCATAAGCAGTAAGACAGCAAAAACATTTTAGTGTGTGTACTCATGTTTAGGCTTTTGAGTTCCATTTTACAAACGTCATTGGAATGAGAGTTAACTTGCAGAATGATATGAAATTGTGAAACCCAAAAACAAAAATATATATAGTACATGTATGTCTGTATCAAATTCTATGACAGTAACTTTCAAGGTAAACAGAAAAAGTCAAGTATGTGATCTCTAAAATAAGATTTGTTTTTTTTTTTAGCCTGATTAACTTGATTTTTTTTTTCATATTTTTTATACATATTTTCAAAATTTTTCAGAGTCATTTTGACTGTGTAATCACACCCATGATATTTTCTGCCCATGATCTTGCCTGGATGGTTGCCATGTGGAGTGGCACAACTACAGAACCAGGTATGAATAGATATTAAAATCTAGAATTCTGTAAATTCAGAAATAGGTACATGCATTTATTATTGTGGACAATCAACACAAATGCGAATTTAATTATTGCAATTTTAGGGAAATTAGAGATGGTAACGGGAAATTAAGATACTTAAACATTTAAGTATGAATATTATATTGCAGGATAAACATTATTTTATTATAATTTATATAGTTATTAAATATTTTTATGGTGTCACTTTGGCCAAATATCAGCATGTTGCTACGAAAGTGCAAATGTGGCATAAAGTATGGTGAATGTGAGACAAACAGGGAAAAGAGGGTACTTGTGGGCATAGCAGCCAATGTTAAAGGGAAATAACTCAAAATTTGAGTTGTGCCTACAAAAATCATATATTCACTATTTGGTGACTTTATAATAATTGAAATTTATGTTCAAATTTAAGGTAAAGGTAAAATATCATATTACTGAAATTTCAACTGAAAAGCACTATTATTAATGCAGTAAAAAATTGTGAATTATTTCCCTTTGGTCACATCTTTGCATTGTTTACTAAAGTTTGACATAAAGCATAACCTAATTGATTAAGGTAGCAGCTGAAATAGGATGTTTGCATACACTTTAAACATGTGAACCTTACTTTGTGTATGCATTTGGAGAATTTTTCAAAAATACTGGAATGATTGTCAAAAAACAATCCGAAATAAAAGATTACGAGTCTCAATGAACCTAACATTGAATATAATTTTGGTAAGGATTTGTTAACTCTGAGTTATCATGAGAACAATTGGGTCGCAAGGATCTGACAACATTTCTTTCTACTTTCTGTTTTGATAATAACTATGTCAACCAATGAAATTTTTGACTCTGAATTTATGAATATGTCATTATGACAAACCCTTGGATCCTGAAAATATCCTCAGAACAAAGTATAACTGAAAATATCTTCAGAACAAAGTATAACTGAAAATATCCTCAGAACAAAGTATAACAGAGCTGTGTCAGATCCTTGTAAGTGAACAGTATATCAATAGGAGACCGATTAATAAAAGCAATTTTGCTTGTTTCTGAATCCTATTTATTTCATCTATCGATTTATTTGAATAAAATATTGTTTAAACTAACAGTATATCAATAAGATTGACAATAAAGTAGCATGATTTACAGTTGAAACCTCAGTAATGATTAGCAGTGTTTAATGTTTGTATCTCAGTAAATAACTGTCAAGTATTTGAATAAGTGACACATATAGTAAGGACAAGACCTTGTTTATTTAAGAAATAATTCATGGAATCGATAAATTTGTTGGAAATTTACACATGGCCTGGGCCGTGATATTCGAATTTTATCCTGAGCGTAAATTTATCGATTCCATGAATTATTTCTTAAATAAACAAGGTCTTGTTCATACTATATGTGTCACTTATTAATGGCCCAGGCCATGTGTAAATTTACAACAAATCTATGGCTTCCATGAATTATTTCGATTCTAAGAGGACAAATACAGTCATTAAAAAACTGAAGTGAGAGTGGGTATGCCGTATGTGGGGCTGTTCTTTTTTACTCCCTGTTAGATAAAGCTAAAACATTCTAATAAATCTGTAGCTTGCATAAATATTTCGTAAATAGCAGCTAGAAAAATTGTTTTTAATTCTTTTAATTTTCAAACCCAACATTTGCCATTTTTGATTTACATGTTTTTCTCGTAATCCAAAGTTGACATTTCGTTACTAAGAAGCCGCCATGTTGACTTGCTGAAATCAGTAAATATGTGAATAATGCAATAGAATATAAAACAAAACAAAACCTACCTCAAAAATGCATTTTAATGCAATATTATACGAATTTCGATGGTTCACGTAACGGAAAAACCTTCAGCTTTAGCGTTTTCATTTGTATGACGTCATGTTTTGAAAGGACTTAAATGCGCCAAAAGCATTAGTGGACTTTCGCGGAATTTTATTTTATTTGGATTATGTAGATTTCGCCGAGCACTTGTGCGATAATTCTTTTTGTTATGCATCTGAATAAGAATAAAAGTTCTGTAGTCTTATTTTTTAATTGCAATTTAAAAAAAAAAAATCGGCATAGCTTTTGCAAATAGGTTTCGATACATGTGGATTTACGTGGGAGGTATATTGTAACATCCATTATTATGTATATCTCTGAGTCTGCGCTAAATATAGATATATCGAGAATTTTATCACGGTGTTGTTTACAAAGCGAAAGAAGCAAGTCATATTAGAATATCACTTTATTTATGGTTTGAATTATTTTTCAGTTCATAAAAGTAAACCTGTGGAATTGTTGTACAAAACTCCTTCGGATTGTAAAGGGATTGATAAAATAACATTTACTATAGAGTCTACAGATGTTAAAGATTTATGGGATAGGTATGACGTTATCAAATTAGTGTGAATTTTTTTTATGAAGCATTCTTAAAATTTCCTTTACCAAAGTTTATCAGCTGATATAGGTGTCTGACCACCAATTAAAAGTCTCTATCTGTTCAACCAAAATTTGCAATTTTCACAGCTTTCTAAATATTTTAGCTTAAGTTTAACTTCATAGAAACCATGTATATCCTGAATTGTACATGTATTAGCTTTCTACATGCCAATTTTCAACATACCTTTAAAATCATATAAGAAAGAAGAGGCCTCCGGAATAGAGGTACCACTAAAAATAACCCCTGGTTTTCTGGAAATCTTAAATTAGTATACTATGGAGTGCATTAATCCTCAATGTTGAATGCAAACTCATAGACAAGTAAATTTTGGCTCAAAATAGTCTTAATATATTTCTCTTTCACCAAAAGTTTCATTTCTGCCAATTTGTTGGTTAGTTTAAGTAAACAATGACATCACATGCACTATTTTTTGTGCGAGTAGGCCTACTTTCACATACGTTCTAAATTGGAGGGAGTAATTGGTGGTCTGACACCTATAGAGAAATTGCATATCCATCTGGATTGGCCTGTTTCTTTTTAAGTACTGTAAATTCATTGCTATGATTATGATTGTTATATTGAGATTAACTATCAGCAAAGCTGCCTATATATATATGTATAAGATATGAGAATGCAAGTTCTTTTATTGCGATACTCATTCAGTCGCATTATTCGCCTTTGTAAATCATTTCTGAATTAACAGTACCATATACACTACATGAACTAGTTAATATTTTGGACAAATGTTTATTGTATCTCATTATACTGAACATTTTCTCTTGTAGAATCCATGATGATAAAGGATCAGAATTTAGCAGTGAGGAGGTGACCATGTTTATAAACAGCCTAGAATCTCATTTTCACTCTTTGTTCCGAGTGAAGCTGTCAGTGAGTACATATACATGATAGTGACCATATTTATAAAGTGTTAGAAATCTCATTTGCAATTCTGATCTAAAATTTTAAAAGATATTTGTAAATTTTGGTTTAAACTGTAACAAACTGGTCCACAAAAAATTGTTTTGCTGAAAGTAGACAAGATCTAATTTTATGAATTAATTGTGGATGATATAATTTGAATTTGGTCCAAAATTATTCAATCCTTCCAAATTATTTAAAAAAAAAAAATTCTAAAATTTACATTATTCTTTCCTTTTTTTTTTTTCCTTGAGATTTACAATAAGCAACAGTGCCATGTCATTTCCAAAATAGGTAACGATGAATTAATATTTTTGTTTTTGGAATCATAAAATATGTATTTCATTCTGGTAAACAGAGATTCATTGTCAGCGAAAGAAACAATGATGATATTGAACTTTTAAAGAAATAGAATGAGTATTGATGAAAGTTAAGTTGTTTAATTGTCTTTCCAGGCTTTACAGTTATACAGTGTAGGAACCTCATTATCCTATATTGGTGATGTTGGAAGATTAAAGGTAAGTTTACTGTGACTAGAGAAAATGTATTATAGGAACAAAAGCTGCCAATTACTCAAATCAATGACTGTATTTGCTGAGACAGAGTGTCATTCAAACAGATTGTTTACACATTTCAGTTCCTAAAAATGCTGAAGCTAAATGTTTTGAACCATTTAAAAGTCTAAAATTCATAGTTATCATGATCCTATTAAGGTCAAGTTACAGTAAATGGCTTATGTCACAGATTTTGGTAAAATTTTGCATACATTTTGAACTCGTTGAACTATAATAACTGAAAATTGAAAAAATAGTGCATTTATCTCTTACTGTCTGAAATATTACTGTTTGAATTCTTTCAAAATAGGTGAATATATGTATAGGAAGCACATAAAATCAGGAAAAAAAAGTCCCAGACTTGTCATTAAATCATCAAATTTCCAATTTCATGTCCAAAGATTTTTCTCAAAAAAACTGTTGTTGGTACATAAATTTCTGTTTTAATGATGTAAAATAATAATGGGGTCACCAGCATTGCTTTTACTGTATACATCATTCAAAGTAGTGTTCTAGATGAAAAAAATCACAAAACATCGAAATAATTGTAACGTTGTCGCTTTGTTGGCTGAAAAAGTCAATACTAACTAGCAGGGATGTCATAAGAAGCCAGCAACTGGCGGAAATCTCTGATAACTCAAGCTATCACCATCGGTTACTTTTTGTCTTACAAAAAAAAAAAAAAATGAGAGAAAATCCAGTAACAACGTTTACGTACAGTTCATATACATGGATAGCTACATTATTGTAGAGCTACGGAGATCAACTGATCAATATTTTTACAGATTGAATATCGCTATCATCGAAAATTGCAATGAGTTCCGAACGAAGTTTTACAAAATATAACTTGTCAACAATCCCGGTTTCAATTAAAAGCCATTAATTTCTACTTGGATGATACATGCAAATCCAAACCTCGGGGTTTACCCATTCCCATTTATTTAATCTTGTATCGCATGGTTGAACAAGGCGAACATCATATGACCAAGTTTCTTCAAGTTGAAAAATAAAAATTGTATACAAACTATTCTATAAATGCAAATGCTTGACTGTAGCTGAAATTGAATATCTATATCCAAATTAAATGAATAAAAACAGTAATCCTGCAAACAATTCATGGTCACATTTGTTGGGAAATCCCTAAATTAATGACTACAATATATCTGGTTATTTATAGCCAGCATATAATTTCGATCTGATATCTACCAGTACATGAAATTTTTATATTTTATGTTATGACAGGAAAAAACGTTCTGAAAGTATTTTCTAAGAGCTATCTTTTCGTATTTTATTTCACAATTTTATCATTTAGATTATATTCTATTCAGATAATGATGGTTTTTCCTGTATAATCCATACAAAATGTGTCATTTTTCACAACCTGTAGCTTGAAAAAAATGCTCTGTGACCTATCATTTTTGTTATATTTTTGAACATACCACCATATATACTACATTTTGGCAAAGTATGAAAAAGTTCTGTCATTTTTCGTTTATACTCCCATACCACCTTAATACAATAAAAGAGATAAATGCCTTATTTTTTCGATTTACAGTTATAGTTCATAGAGATAATGTTGTATGCAAAATTTTACTAAAATCTGTGACATGGCCCATTAACCATCTTTTGGTGTGTATAAAAAGCACTCATGCATAGTACGCACCCCTTTTTTAACCCTTGAAACTTGAGAAAAAAGTTTCTTGTGCTTTACACGCAGGGACTTTCTGGAAAAATCCCAACTTGAAACTGGGTAAAATGCGTCCATTTGAAAATTATTTCTTTTTCAGAGACAAATTGAACTCCAGTCCTGGTTGATTTCAGGGTAATGAAAATATTGTTGCAGAATAAATAATTAAGCAAACGATGTTTGATTCTTTATTGTTTCCACGGATATGTTTGATTGAAAACAACAGGAAGTGTTAAATCGGAAAGTTATTTAAATGAAAATTGTAGTCAGTGAATCTTGTACGGAATACGGAATCATTACAAATATTCTTAAATACACAATAAATAAATAAGTTGTAATAATTATGTTGATAAATTAGTGCTGAAATAAATATTAATCTCTGCTTATTTTATTTATTGTTTGTTGGTATTCATTGAATCGTTTAATCCCGATTATCACACTCTTATTGAATATCAATTAAGAAGTCTAATCGTTGTCAAAACAAATCAATTGACAGATTAATTTTGTTGCTTAATCAAATCCGTACAGTTTACAAGATGGCATTGACATGTCTACTATTATGGTTTGTATGGAGGTTTTAATGCCCCCTCTGTTGCAGAGGGGACATTAAGTTTTACCCTTGTCTGTCCATACGTTCGTCAGTACGTCCCAAAATTGGTTTCCGTTCTCTAACTTTAGTTTGCCTCAACCAAATGTTATGAAACTTATACACAATGATTATTACCACAAAACACAGATCAAGTTTGAATTTTGGAGACGTCTCTTTTACTGTTCTAGAGTTATGCCCCTTTAAAAATTGAAAAATCGCTTAATCTTTCATTTCCGTTCTCTTACTTTAGTTTGCCTCAACAAAATGTTATGAATCTTATACGCAATGCTTATTACTTCAAAACACAGATCAAGTTTGAATTTGGGTAGTGTCACTTCTACAGTTCTTGAGATATGTCCCTTTATAATGTTATATGCAAGCGGGGGCATCATCTGTGTCCCATGGACACATTCCCCATTTATTTAAAAAATGTTTCAAAGTAAAAATATTTTCCTCCAGACCACATGGTTTCTTAATCGGAATTTGGCCTGAAAAAAAGTCGCAAGAACAGTGTAGCCATACATAATACGCAACTCCCTTTTCAGAAATCATTCCCAGGGTAACAACCCTGGTACTATACACACCAAAAGACAGTACTGTTCCTTGAACTTAAAAAATGTTACAAATTTTATTTAGTTGTGTTGTTGGTTTTTTTTTTTAATTATACAAACTTTTATACAACTGCTGTATTACAATTTACCTGGATTATTGCATTGGTCTTGGGGATGATGTAATGTTACTGAATGATTTTGAAAGCAATTGCTTTAATGCTATGGCGTATAGCCATTTTTGTGATCCAGATCATGCCAAAAGATTTCGAGCAGATTCCTCATCTGTTATTTGACTATCAAAGAATGTTGAAGTCCGAGTGAAACATTTCATTTTTTATACCTGCAATTTTGTTCTATCGAATCATGTCAGTTGTTGATTTGATATTGAAAATTTGACTGAATTATCCCTTATACGGTTTTTATGTTTTTTAATTCGTCTTTCAATTTGACAGAGGTCAATTTGCTCTTGTTCATTCATAAAATTATGGTAAAATCACTACCCACGTTATAGTAATGTAATGTAATCTCACATTATTTGTTTTAAAAGCAGCACAATTTACGCGTTCCGATTACGCGTACCATGTTTTTAATACTTCCATGAAATAACAATCCCAGTTATTTATTAAGCGTTTCCTTAATTGCTGATTGAAACTGATAGACTCCACTCTGTAAACAAATTATATAATAATCAACTGATCAAGGTTACTTTTCGAGACAGTGTCAAATGTCATTATGACCCTCTAGGCAATTGAAAATGAGTACCCGTAATTCTCGGGAATTCAAAAGTTTTGTGTTTTATATTCAGAAGTTTTAAAAATCATAACAGTTAACTGAGAGAGTGTTTCTGATTGTCGTAATTAAACTCAAATAATTTTTCTCTGGTTTTGTGTAATGCGTGATCAGGGTGATTTCATTGGATGGTTTAAAATAGATCTTACCAGTCTTGACCATGCAGAAAATCGTCAAGTGTATTTACGTTGACTTCATGAAACTTTTAACAGAAAATTTCTGTGGTGTTATATAATTCATGCGACTATTTCAATAGTAATGAAAGAGGTAAAGCCTGAGCCAGTTCACATGTTAATGGACAGTTAACATACATTTCATGAAAATTTAGGAAGTGTCCCATCTTCAAATCTTTAAACGTTACGTAAGAGGGTGTGGATGGGGTTTTCAGAATAGAGAATAATGGACAAAATAAAGAAAGAATAGAGAATAATGAGGTGCTAAAACATAAAGAATAGAAAATAATGGGCAAAAAGTATAGAAAATAGAGAAAAATGGCTTAAAAAAAATAAAGAATACAGAAATGAAGGACCCCCACCCAGACCCTCATGTATGAATGAAAGATTCTTATTCTAAAAAAAAATGAAGTTCGGTAGAACTCTATCGTCACGAAAGTTGAAATCATCAACTGAATGGTCAAATTTAAACCAATTATGATAATTAAAATTAAGATAAAAGAAATAAAGATAATATTGCCAGGTGGATTGTCAGGTAAATTATTGCCCAGTAATAAACACCCTACAAGGGGACTAATCTATTATGATTTTTTCGGGAGTTATATGTTTCCGCAAATATATTTGCCTCCACCATAAGCTGGGTAAATGTGTCATCCCCCTGGGAAATGTAAAACATTGTAAATAGGACTCAGAAATAGGACTTGCAATTGCTTTAACAGCCTTTCAGGCTTTGATTTTTATGCCCCACCTACAATAGTAGAGGGGCATTATGTTTTTCGGTCTGTGCGTCCGTTCATTTGTTCGTTACGTCCGTCTGTTGGTCCATCCATTCGTCTGTCTGTCCCGTTTTAGGTTAAAGTTTTTGGTCAAGGTTGTTTTTGATGAAGTTGAAGTCCAATCAACTTGAAACTTAGTACACATGTTCCCATGATATGATCTTTCTAATTTTAATGCCAAATTAGAGTTTTGACCCCAATTTCATGGTCCACTGAAAATAGAAAATGATAGTGCGAGTGGGGCATCCTGGACACATTCTTGTTTAAGATGTGGTTTAAACAGAATGGTGAGAAAAAGTGTAGTCCAACAAAATCACATTCGGTTAACATATGAATATACATATATATGTATGTCTTGTGAAAATTATTTGTGTTGTCCTGACACATATAGATTTAAAATGAAAGTGAAAGTTGTTTATTTTAAGCTGGTGATAAAAATTGTTTTTCTTTTTCTTTTTCAGATATTTTCTGCAGACCATGTTTTATGGATACTGAGATATCTAACAGTTTTATCCTTAGAACATTTTACACAATCTTGTAGTTAATACTTAAATGACTTAAGTTTTAGCATAATTATTTTATTGATTATTTTTGTGGTTGTTTTAGAAATAACATATTATGCATATGGGCGGCCAAATAAAAAAAACTAGGCAAGGCCAACTAGTTTACATGAAATTAAATTTATAGATCTAATATATTGTACAGGTTTTCATGCAAAGTGCTTTTGACACAAATAGCCTTTATTTCTGAAATAGTCCTTACATACATAACAAAACAGATTCAGTTAAACCTCATTTCACTGCTCTATTTTGTGTTAACCACCATGATCCAAACCGTGGTCCCATGATGATTGTACTAGATTTATTACCAAAATCTTAATAATATGTATCTCATAGGAAAGCATGTAATGATTTTATAAAACAAGGCTTTATTTTAACAGATTTTTTTTTATAAAACAATATCTTATCGGCCAGTAAAAACAAGTAAATATCAAACCTTCACAATGTACAGTTTAGTGTTGGAGAAAGGCTAATTTAAAAGATTTAATAAAGATAATATGCTCAACAGAGAAACTAACTTTGAGTAGAAAGAAAAAAATGAAGAATAAGCTGAACAGTATGAGAATTCTTGGTAATAGCAATTGATTTTACTGTAGAACTAAATTTCATAAATGGTAGAATAAACACCATACAAGGATTAAATTCTAGACAATTTACATGTTTAGTAAAAGTTCAGTAAAATGATGTTAATATTAAGTTTGTAGTTCAAATTAATCATTGTTTTCAAAACAAACATAATAAATTTGAATATATATTTTATACTTTCTAAGGTTCAGGAAATTGTTACAGATTATTATAAAATAGTTTTTAAATTTGCTTAAATACATTTTTTTTTAAATGCTGACACCATAACTTTAGCAAGTTTTTAAAAGTTTTTAATCTATATTCAATTCTGAAATTACAATTTGACATGATTAATCAATAATGGATGATAGTGTAGTTTTTGAGAAAAGTTTGCTGCCTTCAGACATGAAGTATTTCAACATCTGTGATATTTTCTAGACTTTGTGTGTATTACTTCCAAGCAAATATTACAATGTAATTGAAAGGTAATTCTTAAAATTACATGGCAAAATGGCAATGTAATTCATTACTTTCAATTACATGTAATTGAAAATATGCTCAATTAAACATTACTTAAAATTGCTTTTAAATTTGTAATTAATTACATGACAGTTATTACAATTGCATTTTATATACCACAGGTCTGGTTAAGAAATGAGACTTTCAGGGGCATTAGGTAAATCACTGAATATGAAACGATTAATTATTGTTTGCTTAATGAGCACTGGCTATTATTTCATGTATATTTTCGGGACTATGAAAAAAATTACCAGTACTGCTATTCCACAAATAATAATGAATCCACAGTATTAAATAAATCTAAATATAGAAGTCAATGAGTCATCAACAACACATAAGAAATTTAGAGGTCAACATAGAAAAGTTTAAATAAACTTAAGAGACTATCAAAGATCAACACAATTTGTTAGATTCATTGTGAAAGAAAACAGCAGTATTACTTCAAGAAATACTCTATTTCAGTTAGGACAATTGATTAATTGACTGTGTGAAGTATTGCCCTTTTCCAGTAATTTTGTTATTCAATAGTTTTTGTCTTGCCTTGACGGAGTCAAAAAGCGAGACATAGGTATGCTGTATCCGGCGTCGGCAACGGCGTCAACAATGTATTAGTTTGTGATTAGGTCTAGTTCATGGTGAACCACTAGTGGTAGGTCAATAATATTTGGTATGCAGTTGAATTAGCATTGGCACATCTCATTACCATGGAGATTATTTGGCCCTGCCCCCTCAGTCAAGGTCTATTGACTTTGAAACTTTTCATAGTTTACATGTATTAGTTTGTGATTAGGTCATTTTTATGGGGAATCACTAGTGGTAGGCCAATGTTAATTGGTGTTCAGTTGTATAAGCATTAGCACATCTCATTTCCATGGAGAATATTTGGCCCCGCCCCCTCAGTCATGGTCTATTGACTTTGAAACTTTTGCTAAGTTTACATGTATTAGTTTGTGATTAGATCAGTTTAAGATGAACTGCTAATGTTAAGTCAATGATATTTGGTATGCAAATTTATTGGCATTTGCAAGTATCGTTTCCATGGAGATTATATAGCCCCACCCCTGATCATGGTTCATTGACTTTGAAACTTTTACATAGTTTACAAGTTAATGTTTGTGTTTAGGTTTGTTTAAAGGGAACGACTTATAATAATTCAATGGTATTTGGTATGCAGTTGTATTAGCATTGGCACATCTCATTCCATGGAGATTGTTTAGCCATGTACCTTCAGTCATGGTTCATCGACTTTGAATATTTGCACAACTTAAATGTTAAAGTATTGCTATTTTAATTTCAACATTTGCATTATCAAAATTACAAAAAGGCGAGACATATCTCTGTGATAACAGTTTATTAGTTATATTTTGTATGTAGTTGTTTAAATATGTGAACTGGTGCTACTGTTTTAGAAATGCAAATTGTATGTATTCTTGTACTTTATATCAGAATGAAATTATTTGAAAAAGGAAATGTATAATCTAAGATGACTTCAGATAAGCTGTCTTTGCAAAAACAGAATCTTTCAGAAAATAAGGGCTGCACTCAAAAGTAATTTGAACAAAGTATTTCGATTGCAGTATTGATTGAATTTTAGTTGATAGATTATATGGTTAATGTTGTTGTTTTTTTTAAGTTTTTTAATAAAACAACATTCTGTTCAGGTCATTGAAAATAATGGCAAAGAGTTCAATTGGTTTACCAGTATGTGAGGTGGTCAGCTTTTTGATAATGATTCATACTTTTTCATTGGTGCTCAAATAAAACCTTATTTTCATGAGAATATGTGAGTGTAAATATGTGGACATAAAAAAATCAATATCTGAAGATGATGATGAACATGTACATTTTGAAGCAAACAATATATGTTTTAAAGGCATACAAACACTTTGGCATATGTGAAAATATGGATAATTAGTGATGAGTTTACCAAATATACTAATAGGTTGTCAGCTTTTCAAAGACAACTGGATACAGATTGTTAATCAAAAGCAGAATTATAAAATATGTTGGTTTATATAAACCAAATCTGTACCACCAAAAAATACTTGTGAATGGATGATTCAACAGATATTAGCCAATTTAGGTTCATTGTGAAAGAAATCTGCAGCATTTCTTTAAAAAGAATAAGTAAGCTGAAGACTTTACGATCATTGTTCACCTCTATTTCAGTTAGGACAATTGAAATCAAAGTAATTTATATAAAATACTTTAATAAAAGTCTACAAATTACTAAAATGATATTATTTAAGATCTCCTCTTTATTAAAATTTTTCTAGCAGTGTCATGGAATTTGACTTTTCTAAAATGGTTTTATAACAGTGTAATACTTGAGCACTATGACTGACATTTTTATGAATGAATGTTATCAATATTTAGTTAACTGTTCCTTGATAGTGTAAAGATAACAACAACAAGAAACAATGATTAAGCAATCTTGTATAAAAATGTAAATAAATTACAGTCATACCATACGAAAAGTGACATAAAAAATAAACAAAGTTGTTCTATTTTATCTCAGTTAGTATTGGTATCTGTAATATATTGATAACAATGGGAGTGTTATTTTATTTGTTATTGGAATGAAAAACAATTCTGTGATAGAAGATTTTAAATGTTATTTTTTTACACCCTATTTTATGACTACTTTTAGGGTGTGTGGTCATCCTATTTTATGACTACTTTTAGGGTGTGTGGTCATCCTATTTTATGACTACTTTTAGGGTGTGTGGTCATCCAATTTTATGACTACTTTTAGGGTGTGTGGTCATCCTATTTTATGAACAGATATTTAGTGTATGGTAGATATTTTTTTGCTTTATGTCACAATATGAGACGTTCTTATTTTTGTACCCCTTCCTGTATGAGTAATACTTTCATTAGTTTAGTTATTTTATTGGTTCATTCTTATTTTTGTCCATAGATACTGTGTGCTCTTTTAAATAATTCTACAATTAATCTTACTTGGTACATTTTACAGTTAAAACTGACAATTTTACATCACAATTGTTTTAAACATTTACTTTTGATTAAAATGCAGTAATTTTAATGATTTTGAAATAAAAATGTTCTAATGTAGTCAGTAGCATTAATCAGTGATCCCTGTCACTCCTGAAGCTGCAAAATTTGAATGAGTGAACTGAAAAATTGAATGATTTTGTAAGGTAAACAATGAAGTGTTAACAAACATTCTTGTAAGTAATTAAATCAATTTTAATTTGATTATAATCAGGTTAAATATATCAGGTGTTGAAACTTATAAGAGATCAGTTAAATTTAAGGTAAAGTCATCTGAAACATGCAGTTTTACTTTAACTGGAATAATTCAGGTCATCCCTGTTATTTTTGGCCTCTCCTACAAATGTATTTCCGAGGGGTTGAACTTTTTATACAATTGAAACATGTACCAAATCCTGAATTTTGATTGCAGCATCTCTGTTGGAGAGAGCCAATCACATAGGAGCTCAATTTTATTGAATGATTGATTGACAATTTTTCATTGACTAGGCATTCAGGCATTTATGTAGCTATTGTAGAGAAGTGGAATATAACAATGAATAATTGGGGATAGTTTTACCTGAGCAGTATTGTTATCACAATTGATAAATGTTAAAGTAGCTCTGGATGTAACTCAAACTAAACTGACCAATTGCCAGAAAATTGGTTTAATAGCACTTTATGGTTTAAGTAGGATATACTACAAAGATTTCTAAATTATGTTACATGGCATCATAATCAGTAACAGTCGTCACATTTGACTCCAAAAAGTTTAAAGTTTAAAACACTAAACCATCATCTATTTAACTTTTTTTTTATTGTCATACAGCAGGTGAGAGGTGATATTAAACTTTTTGCATGTATGCATATTGTATATAAAAAATTTAAAAATCAAACCTTTACATTCTATAAAGCTATTCTACATACAATGTACCTGCTAAAATATTCAAAAACTTCATACCGGTAGAGGCAAAAAATTGCTGGAATGCAAAATGTTGATAAAATTAGTTTGTTTTAATAAATGCATTGTGAAATGTTAGTAATTAATGCTGTGGCATAGACATAGTAATTAATGCTGTGGCATAGACAGTGGGTTGTAGTAATGATTAAAACCAAAAAATAATTGTTATATTTCATGATAAATTTTGTTAACATTGTATCTATCTAGATGTATATTGTAAATATGTATATATAAAGCTTAGAATTATGTATATTTCATATATGTTTATACATATATGTACATGTAACATTATGGCAGTAAGATGCATTAAATAATTGTGGTATACATGAAAGGTTCTTGTTATATTCATCACACCTTGACTTCATTTTCATTGGTCAATGTTAAGTTATGGAACAGTTGTTAAATGTACATGTCTGTCTGATAGGGTTCATCTGACCTTGACCCCATTTTCATGGTTCATTAGCCAATGTAAAGTTTTCATGGTTATGTTTGTTATTTGAACACTGTAAGCAGTTGTTCAACTATCATTGATGTATGGAATTTTAAAGATAAGAAGACACGATTATAAATGAGACAACTATCCACCAGTGACTAAATGACTAGGATATAAGCCACCATAAGTCACCATACGACCTTAAACATTGAGCAAAGTCTAAAACAAACAGTAAGCTATATAAGGCCCTGGCATGTCAAACAAAACAATTCAAATGAGAAACCAACGGCCTGATATATATGCTAAAAACAATAATCAAAAAATAAATATAGCAGACAACAACCACTGAACAAAAGGCTCGTGACTTGGACAGACACAATAATGTGCTGGGCTCAAACATATTTGCTGATGCACAACCCTCCCCTAACCTGGGTCAAGGATATAAAAGCACAACATCAATCCTGTCTTGCTGAACATTTAAAGTGTCTTATCTTTTATAGTTTTCAAGATAATAGGCAAACACGCAAAAAATTGGCAAACCTCGTCAATAAAAAGAAATAACTCAAATAAGGAGTCAACTGACGATTTCAGCCATGTTGACATATTTGTCGATCTTGTCTTGCTGATCGTTTTTGCTACATTACGTGTCTATCTATTATAGTTTTCAAGATAATGGGCAAAAAAGCAAACAATTGGTCAAAATCATCATTAATGGGCAAAAACTCCAATAAGAAGTCAACCTACGATTTCGGCCATGTTGACTTATTTGTAGAAATTGTATTGGTGATCATTTTTGCATTTAAAGTTTCCATCTACCTATTATTTAAGATAATATGCAAAAATGAAAAAAAAAATTGGTAAAACTCGTAATTTAAGGACAATTACTCCTATAAGAAGTCGTCTGACAGTTTTGATGTAAATGTTCAGTAGATAGATCTCAACATTCTAAACATTTCTGCGAAGATTAAATTAAAGGACGCGGACGACAGACACTAAGTGATGAGAAAAGCTCACTTGGCACAGTGGAACATGTAAGCTAAAAATGTTTTCCAAT